CAAGTCATAACTATACAATTAACTGAAATAATACTTAAATAAAATATCCCACTTTGTGTGTAGTGATTTTATATAATATGAGTTTCACTTGATTTCAATGATATGTTAATTTACAGAGATGCATCTGTGTTATTGACAGATTCAACTGGTTTGGTTGAAGTAATTTTTTGCTTTGATAAAATTACCTGAGGTCAGACTGAAAATCGAACAGGACGATGTGTGCATGTTGCTGTGTCTGCTAAATTATTTTTTGTTTTGTTTTTAGCCACACTGCATAATGTCTGTGTTTGTTTTGGTGATGTGCTATTTTCATTCACAGAGTGCTTTAAATGACTCGGTAGGGGAAATGTCTGTAGTGGGATGCAAGCCATTTCAGTTCAGATAAAAACGGAGTCATCTATTTTTAGCGTCCCTGGAAGACTTTTTTTTTTTTTTTTGTCCACTATCCTTGTAGGCACTTAACTGTTTCTTAGTTTAGTAATGCTGCTTTGACCTAAATCAATCATTTAAGTGCAAATCTAGTCTCCTTTTCAGCTTCACCTCCCCCTCTTTTCAGTGTGTCTTACATGAGCAAGACTCATTCTTCTCAGAACACCACATGAAAGACAAACATACAATCCTAAATATAACCATATTGGTACGATGTACTTTTTCTGCATGTTCCCAATTTGAAAGAATGAAATTCAACAATTGATTCAGTATTTAAAAATGTGTGCAAGATTAGTAGAGCAGGAAGACATTTGTGCAGCACAGAAATGACTCTTATTTGGTGTGTGTTGTACCATGGTTGTGAGCATTAGTCAAGTGGGCAGCAGTGCGTTGTTATTGTTTGCTCGAGGGACGGCCTTTCTGTCGCTCCTGCAGCTATCCAAGGTCATGTCCGGGCTGACGAAGGACTGGCTCCCACTGACTGACTGAAGGTGGTTTGGGCTATTTTTGGAACGTCATCGTCAACACCTTCTGTTGCCCTTGAGAATAATGGAGTTTTTACCTTTCTGCGTTTTCTGGTGTTCTTGATCGTAGGACACAACGATGGGGAAGAATTGTGCATCCTAAAATAGAAGTCCATGCTCCAGACAAAAACAACATGGGTGACTGGAAAGTTTGTCTATGCTAACTGGGACACTGGATCTTCTTCTTCTATTGATGTTTGTCAGTACAGATGTGCTTAGCCTTTTTTAATCAGTTTTAGATCTCCTGTCCTTAAGGGCTCTTCCTCTCCCATGCTCTTTCCCTTCTCTGGTGTCCTCCTCCTGTCAGACAGAATGGTGTAACCCCAGGCTGTGCCAGCACTTAAAGAGTAATAAGAACTGTGGCAGATCTATTTTCTGTAGGACACTGGCAATGTGTTGCCAGAGATCCCTTGTGATTGTAGAGTGTAAAGTGACATTGAAATCACACGTTGGCAACATGTCTTGTCTTACCTGTCCCCTGTTTGATAAAGGATTCACGTGAAGGAATGCAGTAACACAAACACCTGGTTAGTATGACGTAATTTAAGCCCAGTAAATAAAGCTACATTTCGCATGCAGCTGATTTGTGTGCAACGTGCATCACGTTTCTAGTGAAGAGTGGAAGTTAAAAACGTCACTTGTGGACATTTGCTTTAACCTTGTTGATTGATTCATTGCATAAATACAATCCACATCTTATTTTCAGGGGTAGCATTGTTTTTTCTTGTTGTTTTTTTTTTTTTTTATAGGATTTTAAGTATTTGTAAGTGTATTTTTTTATGTGTTACGCAAACCGTTTTCTCAGCCACATTTAAACAAGCAGGTTATTACATTTACTGACATCTAGTGGCAGACTCGCAGATTGCAGCATCTCCTCAATGTATGTAAAATAAGTCTTGCTGGCAGCTAAGGTTTTGAAAAATAATAATAATAATAATAATAAAAAACACCTCCCAAACAGTTTCATTAAATGTATTAAAACATTGTACAATACTCCCACCCTCTTCCAACAGGACAGCACTTAGGTTTCCCACGAAACATTTCATAATGCTTACGCATACAAAGAGAAGTAAAGGCAATTGATTATTCCCCCTTGTGCTTCATCTGTAATTCCTCCACCGTTCTTAGACCTCAGTTGTATACATTCACCAGATGTTTTGTGCTGGAAGATGAAATAATGGCCCATTTTTTTTGTTTCCTGGCTGTGCCCTAAAGATCTTTATTCCAGAACTTCTGGTAGTTTAGCCTTCATGATGGTATGTATTTACTTAAGCCTGTTCATTTTGACCTAGTATGAATAAAATAAAATAGTCAAAAAAGCCAAAGTTGTGAACCCATTTTCTTTTTTCCAAATTCAGTGAAGATGTGTGTGTGGGGGGGAAAAAAATTAAAAAATAAAAAGGTTCAAATGCATCCTTAAAAACCCCAAATTACTGTGACGCTCCTGTCTATGAGTTAATATAACTCCTGACTGGAGCTGTATATACTCATCTGAGTGTGGAGTTGTATTAAAAATTGGGTCGGTTCTTATTTTTCTTTTATTCTTGGCTCACATTATGAATGTCAGTGGTTTGAAACACACTCAGCTGCTCTGAAATATCAAGCAGTGAAAAACACCCACATGCTGAACTGATGAGGTTGTCATTTCCCATTGAGATCTTAATATAACAGAGAAACCACTGTGTACTTTTCCAAGTACTTTAGTTAATGATAAGGCTCAATGCAACATGTACAGAGCTGAAATTAAATGTGCGTACTCGGTCTTATAAAGCAAAGCAGATTCCCTCAATCCTAGGGACTCTTCTGCTTTCTGCCATTATCTGTATGTTACCAAGAGTGTTTTGGGCCACATGACTTAAGATTAGCAGTTATTCAGAATCAGGCCAGACCTTAGCCTGAGGGGGAGCACAGCAGTGACCACTCCAAATGGTGTCTTCAGTATTCACCATCTATGTGTTTGTGTAGATATGGGTGTTTATGTGTGAAAGTATGTATATGAAATAACTTACAGAAAAGAACAGCTTTAACTATAATTTAGTAGGAAATATAGGTGGAGAGTAGATGGATCTGAGGCATGTTTGAACCTGAACAAGAATCAGTTTACAGAAATTGTGCCTCAATAGATTTTAAATGAATCAATTCAAATCAGTTCATTATTGTTATTAGTGAACTTTAAGACCAGTTGTTCAAATTAACCACAAATTTTATTTAGATTTGTTAAACGTCTTTTTTAAAATCTTCACTTTGCCAATCTGATTTGTTTTTCAGTGGCTGCTGGTCATTTTCCCTTCAAGATTTAATACTTTTGTAGTTTTGGTCAAAAAATGAATCTGCCTCAGTATAACAGTCTATTCTCATTTTGACCATCAACGTTTTAAAGTAATTTTGCACATTCTACTCATTGTCAACATCATGAAAAAAACAAAACAAAACTGCAGAATGAAGTTATGAGGTATTTCAGTTTGATCAGCAGTCAACTCTGATTGCATTCTTGAATCAACTGCAATGTATGTTTGCTGATTTTTTTAAAGAGTTTTGTCCTGGTTAAATAAAGGCTGAAGACGAATAATTGGAATGCATGTCATCAGGATTAATAATCATCAGATAAAATAATCAAATATATTCATCAATATTCCATTTATTTTTAATCAAAGGCAACTCTGAACAAGAGGTTTTCAGCCTTGATCTAAAAGAGTGTTTCGGCTGTTTTGCAATTCACTGGAAGTCTGTGTCAGATTCGTGGTGCAACAAAACGTAATGTTGCTTCTCCATGTTTGGTTCTGGTTCTGTCGACACCTCCCTCCTGGATCCGTTGCCCCTGTGACCTGAGCATGGATGGTGAGAAGGAAAAGTACATCTCCACTTAAAATTAACTCTTGTGCTACTGTAATTTTGTAATTTTTCTTTTTGCGCAATGTTTTGTCAGTATTGAGTGTATTGATTAGTATGTGTGCATAGTGAGATGAATTGTATGGGTTTATTTTTTCCATCCTTAGGCTCTAAAAAGAAAAAAACTTAACTGGTGCTAAGATTGATTTTTCTTTCTTGTTTTTACTCTCAAGGTCTTACTAGTTAGTATACTTGTGTCAGGCCACTCGGTCATAAATTATTTGGTTGTTTGTCCTGTTTAGGAGATATTCTTGTCCATAATGAACTCAGCTGCTTTAATAAAGCATGCGATTGAATGTGATTTTAATATGAAGGTTAAGCCTGTCTTCTACCTCTGTAAATTATATTATGGTATGAACTTGTTTCTGTCTCTTAGTCTTGTTAGCACAAAAAAAAAAAAAAAAAACATAGCACAGATTGATTTGAACATACTGACTGGACTTTCTTAGGAGTCTATGGATTAAGCAGATTGCTGCTTTTGCAAGAGCAGAATTCCCCCATTAATCTATAGCAACATGCAATGAGCCCACACCCAAAGGAACAATAGAGTGAGTTGATTACTTGTTTTGTGTTTAGACACTCACTTCCTAATGGGTAATCATCACTCTGTTTCTACAATAATTCATCTCCAGCTTCCTTTTTTTTTGTTTTTTAAAAAGCTCACTCCTGGATTCTCTTTAGCTGAGGAAATATCCTTTATAATATTTGGGTTTGACAGGGACTAAATAATTCATCCATGCTGTTGCATCAAAGCAGCTTGGAGTTTCAGTTCTTTTTTAACCGTTTCATCTGTGTGTGATTGGCACTGCAACGAGGCTTTCATGTAACTCTCAGTCCTCGTCTGGCTCTCTGGATCGAACACAAGCAACCATTACAAGTTGTGGCTATGCAGAAGTCTGGAATTAAATTATGAAATTTTGAAATCAGCATTTTGATAAAATTACTTGTACCAACCAGAGGTCGCTTAGTAACTTATAAGACTGCAACACTTTTTTTCTAATCCGCATTTGATGAGCATATTAATTTGACATTGTCAGCGTCATTTTATTTAAGCTCCTCTCAGTTTAGGTGTACATTAGAAGAGATATGTTAACGGTTCATGAGCATTTGACCTGAGCATGATGTTCTTTTCTCTCTCTTTGTGCCTTTGTGTTCCAGTCCTATAGAATCCTGCCAGAACTTCTACAAAGATTTTACACTACAAATCGATATGGCCTTCAACGTCTTCTTCCTCCTGTACTTTGGCTTGCGGGTAAGCAGACACAGATGCATTCACACGNAGACCTGCACACACACACACGCACGCACGCATGCACGCACGCACATGCGCGCACACACACACACATTCTTCAGTCAAAAGAAAATTATTAGTGCTTCTCAGATTTTATTTTCATAAATGAAAATCTGAAAAGTGTTGGGTACATTTGTATTCAGTCCCCCTCAGATAAAAAACAACAACAAAAAAACAACATAATTTGCCACAATCACAGCTGCAAGTCTGGGAAATCATTTTTGAACATCTAGAGAGAGAAGCCCTTGCCCTTCATGTTCAAAAATAGCTTAAGCTCAATCAGAATGCACGGACTGAGTTTAGGCTTGAACTGTTATTGTATTTCATTGTAACAGAAACACATGTGACTTGTAAGTCATTTGATCAGTTCAGATTCTTCCCCGTCTTTTCTGAGTCCCCTACAGGGCTGTGGTAAAACTTTAAAACTGTACATTTTATGCCATCCTTTCAACAATAGGTGATTTATTCTCTAAGGCCAGATTTGTGGTGTGTACTACTAATGGCTATAATGATAATATTTCCCACCTTAGCTGTGGATCTCTGCAGCTCCTCAAAGTTATAATTGGGTTCTTGACTCCTTTTCTGATTTGTGTTCTCCTTGGTAGGTTGCAGCTGCTCTATATTATTTGCATTTGAACATCACTGTATGTCATTTATGTGATAGACTCTGACAAAAATAGTAGTATGGTTTTCAAAATATTCAATTAAACTCCTCTCCATCCTAATAAAACTAATAAATTCAGCTGAGAAGCTCGTTGGAGAACAACCAGCATCACAAAGGGAGCTGTGAGATGTTAAAAGCTTGGGATATTTTTTGTATTACACAATGCAACATTATCACTGACCATGTGCTGTTTTCTTCGGTCTCTGTGATGCTGGTTGTTCTCCAACGAGCCTCTCAGCTGGATTTATTAGTTATGTGATTGCACTGGATGTGATTTATGGGCATCAGAGTAAATGGGGGGAAGCTGGAAAGGAAGGAGAGGAGTTTAATTGAATATTTTGAAAAACATACTATTTTTGTCAGTCTATCACATAAATGACATACAGTGATGTTCATGAAGTAAGATAACTGAATTCAAGGCACTCTATACTGTATCACTGTGTAGAGTGTTTTATGGGAAATCCATATTGGATCATGCATAAAGTGCCTCTACGTTTTAAACTGGCACTATTGTAATGACCACAGCAGCCATCTAATTTTGCAAAACCAAGCTTGACATCCTGAATGAATGGATAAATAAAAGCATAAGCTGCTTACACTGCCACTGGTTTGCACGATTCAGCAAATGTGACGAAGCTTTTGTCGTCTAAATAGCTCTTCACTGTTGCTGAAAAAACAAGTTTGAAAAACAACTGGGCTCTTTTTTTTGTGGTTGCTGTTTAAATAAAAGTAGGTTAGTCGCTATGCTGAGTAGCATTGTTGTCACTTTTCTTTTCTGGCAGTTTATAGCAGCCAATGACAAGCTGTGGTTCTGGCTGGAGGTCAACTCAGTGGTCGACTTCTTCACCGTTCCTCCTGTGTTCGTCTCTGTGTACCTAAACAGAAGCTGGCTTGGTAAGTTTAAATATATATGCTGAGATTTAGCAAATCCTGTTTTCCCCATTCCGTTTTTCTTTCTATCCTTGCATGCCCTCCTCTTTTTCCATACCTTCACGTTTCTCCCTGAGCCTCCCGGTCCTCCCGTCTGCCTCCCCTTTGGTGGGGGCATGTCTCTGAGGCCTTGCTGCTCGAGGCTGCAGTCAACTTTCCCTCGTCATTAGAAGTGACAGGGCTAGGTTCCTCTGATGTTTCAGCTAACACAGACACAGCAGAGTGAAATGGATTGATGGGAGTGAAAGAATGGGGCTGTGGTTTTCTTGTTTCTGCGCGTGTGTGTGGCTTTAGATTATGTAGTAGTTTTGTTAAGGAGTTGCACCTGTAATGCCTCACTGCAGTCAGTAACTGCCCTCTAATGGCTTTATTCACACCCACACGAAAAATGCAAAGGCATGTGTGATCCCAGTATACACTGCTGCACTCACTCATGCATGAGCAGACTGGAAAACACCCTAACCTGCATTACATAACGACCTACTTTTCCCACTGTGTTCAGAGAACCGTGACCTAAATTATACTGCAGAGAAAAGAGTTTCTTTCCAAGTCTGCTCTTTTTTTTTGAGTTCACTTTGTGTTTACTTCTGAAAAGACGCTGAAAAAAAAAGCTCAGGGCTGATAATCAGAGATGCTCTAATCCAGGAATTGTTTTTGGCTCTTTTATGATCACAGCATCTACATTTAAATGTTTGCCAATACTGACATTGTCTGATCGGCAGGGGGCTTTTGACCTGAACATTTGGTGTTGTTTTTGGTCATAGTGTTATATGAATGGACCATGCTGGCACTGCATGTCAGTTTATAAGTTTAATAATCTTTAAAAATGATTATTTCATGCCTACTTTCATGTTTGCAGCTACACAAATTCTAAATATGTCCACAAACAATATGGGAGTGGAGCGTAAGTGAGAAATATTTGAAAATCTCCAACATCCAGCAACAAAATCACTTCATAATAGGTTTTTTTTTTTTTGTATATCTTATTACTTATTCACAACTAAAAGCTCACAAATCAGCACAATAATGTAGGAGTTTGTTCATTCAGTGAAATAAAGTGAAGAAAATAGAAGGTGGCATTCGTTTTTATATATTGTTTTTAACAAATTTTGAAAGTGAGAGTGCATCAAAATTCTCTTGTGATGAAATATGAGTATTTAACCTGCTATTGACCATAGAAATCAAATTAAAATAGTTAAAAGCCTTGCTTCAGAAACTGGAGTTTTCTGAGGCAAGGTCGAGCATTTTCACGGAGAAGATAAACAGCATAATGAATGAAGAGAGCGAGTGTTTCGTCTTTCTGCTACTCATGATGTAAGGTGTCCTCATCTCAGCCAAAGGAAGCTGTGGGTGTTACGGTCTTGATGAGGATGATGCAAAAATTTGAAACAGTGGTGTGGCCGCTAGCTAATGTTGTTTTAGTGAGGAGTCACCTGTGAATATTAAAAATTCCTGTGCCGGAATTTTGGAATTAATATATTTCTCTTGGGGAAGTAATAAAGCTGTAATATTTTTTTTTCTTTTCAAAAAAATAAGTGTAGAATTCTTGACAGAAAAAGAGAATCCTGTGGACGTTTTTAGTCCCTTTGGGTTAAAATCAGTCCTGCTTTTTTCCACCTATTCAAAGGATTTTGCAAAGCAGAAAGATTAGCAAAGGGAAAGCTATTGAAGACAATAGAAAAATAAATAAATAAGGGAAAACTAACAACAGAATGGAGGGGGAAAAATAATCATCTTAACCTCAGTTAGGATATTTTTGTCTATGATTGTAATTTGTTGGAGATTAAGAAAAAAAATAGGTAAATAATTTAGAAGTGGCGGCAATGTAAGTAGGTTGTGGACATATAAAGGGGACTGTCTTATAAGCATTACTAAATTTATTTTATTAGACCTGCAGCATTTCCCCTCAATCATTTTCATTCAGTGTAAAGAATGAAAGAAATTCATCCTCTACTGCAAGAGATTAATGTAACATAGCAAAAATATTGCAAAAATCCAGAAATGTTTTTTTTTTTGTTACAAAATCACTGGTGTTTTATTTATTAAAACCCTGAACAAATTCTGAAATGCAAACGTACCAAATTAATTTATTTTTAATCTGTAATTTACATGAACTTTATTTTTTTTTTTACATTTTTCCATCCAGTATTTACAGTCAGGGAAATAATTAAATTGTTTAAAACAAACATTGTCAGAGAAACTTCTTTTTTTTTTTTTGGCATTATGCACATTGAGAAGGATCCTAAGGGAAGTAAAACCAGTCTCCAACTGTTGGACAACTGCAGTAAAAAGTGAAAAGTTAACCAGTTTCTTACGAAACACGCCAGAAATACATCTTTACTATAAAAACTGTAAACACACAAGTTTTTGAAATTAATTCTTATTATTTTTTTAAATATTACTGTAAATAGTTGGACTCATCAAACCAAACAGATGAGACTAACTGAGCTTTTCAGCTACAACCACTCCAGGGAAGTCTGGCATGAAATTTGTGGAAAAGCATCTCATGGCCGCTGTTCAGCACAGTGAAAGATGTGTAACGGTGTATTATACTGCTAATAAAAACATAATTTATTTTAAGAATTTCTACACATTACGCCCAGTAATAATGCTACCTGATGTTGTTCATGAGTATGTGTCATAAACTGCTCAAATCGACTGTTTTTAAATGAACTGTGCGTAGTAGTACTGGGATTTGTTGTACCCAAACAGGCTGCTGATAGCTTGCAGAGTACTGATGTTGTGCTGAAAGTTATCTGTTAGCATTCTGAATCAGTCAAGGACGGCATTTATAATATGCCTCAGGAGCTCTGGAATAACAAGGGAATGAAGTCATGTTGTGAATGGAAAATAAAGACAACTAATTGGTCTAAGACTCAGTTTGTGTGTTATTCAGAAAGTGTTTGAGTTGAAAACACTGAGGATTTTATTGTTTAGGAAATTAGATCAATTACTTTATCTTTCTGTGCTCGCTTTCAGACACCTGACAGGTCTCAAGTGTACTAATCCATTACTGGTACTACTTTCTATTCAGGTTTTATTTAGGAGAAGTCAGAGAGGTTATTAGGGCGGGTCTTGTGCTTTTAATTCCCCCAGATTACTTTCCATACACCGTTGGAGAACACACAGTCTTTATAACACATCACAATTAACATCACCCCTGAATGTGAATGTGAAGTCTGCTGTTGGTGTGTTTATCAAAAGGCCTCTGCCAGAGATCCTACCCTGCACCCCTGACATGGAGTATCCGCTTATTACGCACCCTATGGCAGAATATATGATGTTTCACAATTCAGTGCTTGTTCTTTTCTGCTCCTTTAAATTGGATGTTGATTAAGAGAATAATGATGCAGGGCTGATGTTAGAAGAGCATGTAGAGTTCTGCTTCTACAGGAAGAGAAATTAATCTTCTTTAACAACTTTAACCCACGTTTTCCCGAGAGAGAGAGACTGGGTGGGATAAGCATGTGGATATTTGAAGGATGCTCATAGATCTCGTGGCTACTGAGCCTTTGCTTTCACACTCTCCCCCATCTGCAGCATGAAGTTACTTTTACAATAAATTACTTAAAACATAAATGAAATATTTGACTGTGCAAATCTGTCTGCTGATATTCAGCTGTTTACTGCAGGGTGAAAAAGCAGTGTTGAAGTTTTAGTGCTGTTGCTTTGAGGGGGCGATTTTAATTCCTACTTTCTGTTGCCTCCTAGTGGAGAGTTAGTAGACCGTTCTCTTATCCCTTATGGTGATGAAAGAGGCTTATGTGCCTGACAATGTCGTGAGTGCAACTGCTTTATGCTGCATGTCCTATAAGCTACTGGCAGTAAGCATATAAAGGGCAAACACTGGAGTTGTAACTGCTATCTTAGCCCACAGATGTTGATATTTGTTGCTCTTGTGTTCTTTGTGAATGAAAGAAGAACCAGTGGCCATTGTGTTTGCTTGGTAAGAGCAGTTCAACATTGTGTATTCTAAGCCTGGCTTAGTTGACTGTTAGCATTAGACCAGATGAAACATCTCTGACTGCTGATTGACAAAACAATTCTGCCAAAACACGTGACTTAGAGGCTGAACCGTGCCTTGTAAACCTCAATGAAGTAAGCATTGGCACAGTCCCTAAAAGCCTTCTTGAATGAGCATCATGTGAGCTGGTGTGTGTGCGTGTGTGTGTATGCGTGTGTGTATGCATTTATGATAGTTGCCAGTGCAATAGGATTTAGCATGTGTTGAAGAGATTTTTACATTCAAAAACATGTACTCAATGGAAGGGAATTTCATTGAGATGTTTTTTTTTAGACACGTGGATGCTAATGCATGTAAAATATCATGTTAGTGAGAACTTTTACGCACATCTGTTATATTTATGTGTTTGATTTTTCTTAATTGTTTTATTTGCTTCTGCTTCAGAAGTGAGTTTTGAGCATGGAGTGTGTAAGACATTAAAAACCGCTGACATACACGGATACACAGCGGAACACAGACACAAATGCTTCATACTAACTGAGTAAAAACCAACAATATACCAAAGTGTTGCTGTGTGGTGGAACTAATTTAGAGAAATCTAAGTCCAAGTTTGGAAGCAAACTCGGTACTACTTATCCAACAAGGCAGATTTTTGCAAATGAGAATATTCTCATAAATATGGACATGGAAATAACTATAACAGCAGATTCATAAGCTTACATAAACATAAGTTACGCAAATAAAATTAAATCTCTTCTCAATCTCTTCTAAGTTTAGCCTATTCTGATTTCTTGTTGACAACAAATATCAACAAACTGCTGCTTCCTACTTTCTTTTATAAACTAAACATTTAAGAGTTAAACTAGAGCACCTTGCTGCTTCTTGTTTTTACTCAGTGCGCACTCATTGTTTAAAAGTAGCAATCTTGAACACTTGACATGACATCAGTTTCCTTTTTAAAAGCATCCTACACCTTTTGTGCTTCCTCTGACCAAACTTTGAATTTAATTTTAAACACTCTTTAATGAAAATAGCTGACTGAGAGAACAACTTTCACACCGATGAGTTTTGCTGTCAGTAGTAGCTCAATAGCTCGAATATACACTGCTCAAAAAAATAAAGGGAACACTCAAATAACACATCCTAGATCTGAATGAATGAAATATTCTCATTGAATACTTTGTTCTGTACAAAGTTGAATGTGCTGACAACAAAATCACACAAAAATCATCAATGGAAATCAAATTTATTAACCAATGGAGGCCTGGATTTGGAGCCACACACAAAATTAAAGTGAAATGTTCCCTTTATTTTTTTGAGCAGTATATATCAAAGTGGGCGGTAGTCAACACTAAAAACGTGCCTCAGAAAACCATTCTGTTACGCTGTGATCACTTTCACCACAGAGTAAAGTTACTTGGACATGTAATTGTACAGCTAATCACACAGGAGAAAAGTCATAAAGCTACATTGTTGACTGTAAAGTGGTAAATTTATTCTTATCAAAATTTGAGTGTCTGTCAAAATCTCAGACTGCAGACAGATCTGCTCCTAAAATAGTACAAGCAAGCAAATAGCTTTGCAGCTTTCTGCACTGGAACAGTCGCTCCACATTAGAATGAGTTAATTTGCATATAGTTAAGAACAAATCCGCCCATATTTATGTATCTTTATGTAAAGTACATCAAAAACAAATAAAGATTTACATTTTGAAAGACTGCCTCTCTTTGAAATTAATTTTCCCAGCAGTCTCTGTTTTTGGGGAAAAAAAAACAAGAACAACAACATATATATTAAAGTTGTCATTGGGCACGAACAGACTGACTGATTAGTTTATTCCTAAATACTTAATTAATCTTTTAAGCGAGAACTCTATATTTGCATTTTTTTAAATTTCCCAACTAGGACGTCGATTATTATTGAAATCTTATAAATATAATCTTACAAAATGTTATGTATTACAGTGTTATTTGCGTTTTGCAACATCATAAATATACAATGTAACATGTTCACTCTCACAGAAAATGTATCTGTAATCAGATAATTTTACAAATTTCTTCTAAAATTGCATAGGAAGGAGATTTTTAATCCACAGATATCCTCTAGAGCTGCAACAAAGCCTAAACAAGTCCTTTAAAAAAATAAAAAATAATTTAATGTTGAGTCATGCGTTGCCTTAAAGCAGCAAGGACAAAGTGAGAACAAGATCATTTGTATCTGAGAATAAAAGGAGATGGGGAGTACAAACACTCCATGCAAACAATGCATAAAAATATACCTCAGCTGGGACGCACTGTTTTTTGTAACTCCAACATCTCTAATTGTGAAAATGTGTTCATAGATGTTAGTTTTGATTCACAATGAAAATTTAATAATTGTTAGTAATTTTTATCACCATTATCGTATCATTCATCCATCGTCTACACTGGCTTATGCCTGCAGGGTTGTGGGAATAATAATAATAATAATAATAATAATAATAATAATATGATGCCACTGTAGATTTCTCCACCATTAGAGTTGATTTGAAATGCCACAATGAAAGCAGAACACACCCCCTTCTGAATAAGGATTATTGTTTTTTCCCCTCTGAATTATTTTTCATATCTGCTAATCCTTGGCAGGATGCAGACCTTTTTGAAAATTAGGTGCAACACAGCTGTGTGCTGATGGAGGGAGAGAGAGCTCTGCAGGAGTTAACGGTAATGCTCTGACAGGGGCCTAGAGAAAGGTAAATCGGTTTGTGTAGTGGGGATTAAGGGCACTGTAACACAACTGAGAGGGGAAAAAAAAAACACTTATTAGAGCTGACATTTTGATCACATAGACATTCTGAGACTGGACTGTCATGATGACCGTTTACTTTTAGAGCTCTTCAGTCTGAAGCCCCTTGATTTTTGTTGGAAATTTTTCCTATAATTTTTACCGGGAACCTAGACAGAATTGTTCTCAAATAATTGTTTGACTGCAATTGGAAGGTTTTGAAACGATGATTCCTCCTAAACTGCTCGTCTACCGCCGCACACACTGCGATGTTAACTTGGAGAACCTCCAGGAGACTTGGAGGCGGAAGAAGTCTTGCGGAGAGCTCTTTCAGAATGGCTATAGGGTGAGGCAGAGCCACCATGGCCAGGATGACAAGAGAGGGCAGACTGGCTTTTACCATACACTTTGGTCCTGCATGCACATTCTCTCCAACTGGGGTAAGAGCCTGAGCACTGACGTATGTGCAATATGGAGTCGTGGTTTTATTTAGTAGTCTGATAAATATTTAATAAAATGGTCAGGCATTTTTGATTGTGCAGAATGGAAATTCTTATCACAGCAATTTACTTTGGTCCTAAAGATGTGCACACATTTCTCATGGGATTAGAACGGTTACAGCAAACAACAATGATGATTTGCTGGTCCTTCATGGAGTCCTTTTCCACATAGCACCCCTACTAACGTCTGTCATTGTGCGAGTATTTTCCCAGCCATGACTAAATCATTTTCTACCGTTTGTGTCTGTCCAAATCCTTTGTTTTGAAGTTTTGTTTTATTCCTTAAAATTCTTTCTTTCTGTTGCACATTGTATTCTCACCCCCTTTCTCTATGTGTTTCTGTTTCAAACAGGTTTAAGATTTCTGAGAGCACTAAGACTGATTCAGTTCTCAGAAATATTACAGTTCCTAAATATTTTGAAAACAAGGTAAGGAAAAAAAAAGCCTTTTTTATGTATTAAAACTTGAAACAATTTCAATTTTTACCACCTTAATGTTTATATCCAATAATCTTCATCTTAGATTGACTCAACTTTTATACATATTTAAGGACTAATTGTACTCATTTCTCTGCATGCAAATATAACATTAAAGTTAAAAGCTACATATGTATTTAAAAGGTATTTTGCTTTTACATTCAGAATGTCTTTTCTCTTTGATTATAATTTATGCTAATTTTGATTGACCAGTTGGAAGTATGGACCCAGTGGTTGTTGTCAGGTGTTTCTCTATAATTTGCCTGATTGTTTGTCTCCAAACCAGCAATTCCATCAAGCTGGTGAACTTGTGTTCCATCTTTATAAGCACGTGGCTCACGGCGGCTGGATTTATACATCTGGTAGGTAAACTTGGCAAAGTGAAAAAATTATGTTTGACATATAAGCAACAGAAATTTTCACCAGCTGTTATTTTGAGGCCCTGCTTGGTAATTACTGTTCATTATAGCTGTGCAGAGATAAAATCAATATGTAAATAATGACAAAGGCCCACAGCTGTTCTCCCCCATTTATCTGGTTTCAAATGCTGTCGAACACAAACAAGTCAAACAAAGAAATTGACATAATTTATTTAATTTGTCAGAAACTATACAACATCCTCGTTCAGCAACACATCATGCATTATAAAATATCACCACTAGGTGGTAGTCAAAGCTTGATATGATGAAAAAGACATATCCCAGCTGGCTGAATGTATTCAATTCTAAGAAATTTGTTTAGGAAGCTCTGATGAGTGTTATGTCTAATCATCTGCACTATTTCTGTTCCCATTTCCACTGTAGGTGGAAAACTCAGGGGATCCGTGGGAAAACTTTGAAAATTCCCAGTCGCTGTCTTATTGGGAATGCGTCTACTTGCTGATGGTGACGATGTCCACAGTGGGTTACGGGGACGTCTATGCAAAAACCACCCTGGGCCGCCTGTTCATGGTCTTCTTCATCCTTGGTGGTTTGGTAAAATCAAACTTTTCTTTCCTCCCTTCCCTCACTTTTATATCCTGCCTCAATAGATTATTTAGACCTATTTGAAATCATGACTGTGATATGTTAACAAAGTATGTTTTTTAAATAATTTAATCTCTGTTGCCTTTACCTGGACTTCTTATTTATCTGTCAGTGTCCTCGTGTTTAGCCTACTGTATCCTGTCTGCTCTAGTTATAGGTCCCGGTGTTTCTTTGTCTGCTCTCCTTATGTGTCCCCCCTATATCTGTTGGATTAAAGTGTATGCTTCTGTCTCATAATATTGTTATATTATTCTCTTATGAAAGCAGTTGCGGTTTCAGGACACCCCTCCTTCCGTGTCTACTCCCACATTTCCAACAAACACAGCGGCAGGGAGATGAGGCTCAGGCCAGCCTGACTGGTACCACAGCAACCCCCTCCCCTCCGCCCCCCTCACCTCTTTACAATCTAGCATCCTGTTGGGCTGCCACAAGGACATTAACGTAAACACAGGCATGCATGAATGCGCACACCTGTAAGCACTCATGAGCACTGGCACACAGCTGGAGGGCCTCTGGATTAAGGATTTACCCCTAATCACAGTCAGTTTTTCTTTTTTTTTTTTCTGAACTTGGATCCGTGACGGTTTAAATATTACCTACACATGTGTGACGATATGTAGCTTCGTGCTCATGATGATAGATGGTGTGTTTTTCAGAGAGCTGAAAGCTCTGGAAGTCTTTATGTAAGCAACTTAGCGTGCCTTCTGTCAGCAGCAGTGGCTGAAAAATGATTCCAGTCTGGAGCAGTTTTAGAAACATAGATCAAATTAAGCCCCCTAACATTACTGCTTACTTTTGATGATCCAATTTGACAGTTTGGTCTGATATCCAAATTCTGTTGTTGCTAAGCTTTGACCTGATTTCTCATGAAAAACGATACCTATCGGTTTTACTTGTTGCCTCCCTGATTTAAGTGGTCATTAATAATGACAGTATTGTGTTTATTCAGCCCAGTGATGACTTGCAATGTGTGTGCGAGAGAGAGTAGTTGCTGCAAAACACTTTTACTAATGTAAAATGAATTAAATGATTAGGACATGAAACTTTGTATGCAGCCTTTATGAGTAATTAGTACAATAAGCACAGTTAACATAACACTCACCGCAGTGTGCATTCTCTAGAGCAGTGGTTCTTAAACTGTGGTAAAAACGCCGGCGGTGGTACTTGGGCTGCTTTTGGTGCTTCCCAGAATAAATTTTGATATTTGTAATTTGCGAGGCAAAACCGTCTGTGATCTAGAACTCCAACAGACAAAGAATGTGAGTTTTCCATTCACATTTTTCACTTCTTTAAGCTCTTCTCTAAATAAAAATGCAGTGAAATAAATTATAAAGTCTGCTTCAGTATAATGCTGATTCAGTATTAAACTGAAGCAGACAGAAGTTTAATAGGACCAAGTGCCGGTGGCTGTTTGTGCTGGGAACAAGTCCAAGCACAGTCTAGCTGTTTTCCAACTTAAAAATTCTTCTTTTTTTTTTTTTTTTATCAATATACTCGGTGACCAGCGTGACTGCTATTAGCAATGGAAGCCAAAAAGTGTGCATTTTTCTAAATTTGTAATTTGAAAGACTAACTACATGTTCGGTAACAGAGGATGAATAGTGTTATATTGGAGAACAATTTGAAGAGATACAAATAAAGGTGTTTATTAATTCAGAGCAGCCATGTTACATTCTAATGTCAGTGATGATGTGAAACAAACTGACTGAAGCCTTAAGAGTATGACATGGTGAAGGAGTGAAATGTTTAGTCCGTGCTGATGATGTCTAACTCTCAGCCTGAATATCCTTTAATTTCCCAGGATGTGTAAATTTCTGCTGTCATCCCTTCATTAAAAACCTAATATTTCTGTTCTTCCTTTGACTTAATTTGTATCCTAAAAATTGCTAACTTTGAATCTTTAAGATACAATAACAACTTCCACTCCAAAGAGTGCTGTGGATAGTTTTTTTTTTTTTTTTTACCATTTACATTTCTGAATGTCCAGTCAGTAATCACAGCCAGTAAAACTTAAAGTTGTCTGAGCTGATCAGCCTAGTTCTGATGCATGTCCCTCTCCTAATAGTTTTATGGTAGATATTTAAGCTTTTACTGATAAATGAGCAACAATGACTGACCTAGTGATGACATTAATACCAAATACAACCCTGATCCCTTTCGAAGCTGCGTAACTTTGCAAAATGCATCCAGCTCATTCTCTAGCCCAACAAATGAGTCTTGATGTGTTTTGCAGCTGTGAACCATCAGGTGGGCCTTTTCAAATCAACCTGCCAGATCATCTGTGTTTGTTGGACAAAACATGGCACATAGGTTTCAGTTTAAAATTTCTGCCACCCAGAGAAAGGTTTTTGGTGCCATCACAGACTGACAATTATTCAGCTGTGACAAAATTTGTGTCTGAAGAATCGTAACATAGTGGGGCTTAAAACATGAAATGCAATAAAATCTTTTTTTTCCATATGAAGACATTTTGCCCATATATATGAATATTAGCGGATCTCTCCAGATAACAAGCAAGCAAAACATTTCCCATCAAAAAAAACAAAAAACAAAAAAAACAAACAAAAAAACAAATTGGATTCACATTCTCCACTACCCACTCTTTGGGATAGTAGTCTCTTTTTTTAGTCTCTTCTTCTGTCTTCTATCTCCTCCTTAGGCCATGTTTGCCAGCTACGTCCCTGAAATCATAGAGTTAATAGGAAACCGCAAGAAATATGGTGGTTCCTATAGTGCGGTTAATGGGAGAAAGTAAGTATTCCAGATGGTTCTGCTGTTTTTAAGTGTGCGGTAGAACCCTCTCTGCATGCCTTTTTTTTCTTTTTTTTTTCTGTTCCATGCATGTAGGCCATGTTTGCTCGCTACGTGCCAGAAATTGCTGCTCTCATCCTTAATCGGAAGAAATACGGAGGGAGTTATAACTCAACACGAGGCAGAAAGTAAGTTGAAATCCAGACAAGGTGTGGTTGTGTGACTAAAGTGCACCCCCTGTTTTAAGTTTATAGGATATCAGGGGCTGGTTAATGTGACATTTTATGTTGATAAAGTTTGAGTGCAATAGTAAGATAAAGTTAGATTAAGTCACACTGCGTGACTGGAGACCTTGGCCATCAGGACACACATGTTCATGCCCCCTCACTCTTGCTTTCACTCTTTCACTTTTTTTCTACCTACCTTTTTTTTCTGAATCTACTTCTCTCTTTCCTTCATTCAACACTTTCCTTAAGTCATCTGTGTGCTGTTTATTTTTCTTTTTTTTGTCCACCTCAACACATCTTGTGTTGCGCTATAATTTAATTTGGACAATAGAGCTTTCATGACTGCTAAACGCTTTAGTTTTGCAACACGCTGACCTGTGGTGCTTCTCTGCAATACAAATGTCCAATGCGTCCATGAAGGGGTTCAGTTTAAAAAAAAATAAAATAAAATAAAATCAAGCAAAGAGTCATGAAATCCCTACTATCCACTTTTCAAGGATTTTCCCACGAGAGCATAGAAAGACTGAAACATCTGCAAGTGCATTATTATTGGTGGTCTTTTCAAGCATCATCAATCTCAATGACCATTGCAGGATATAAGTTCTTCTACTTTATATTTTATTTTAGTTTTGTTTTTTTATTTTATTTTGCCTGAGTTAGTTCTGCATGCCTTAATCCTCTCCTCAGCTGCATCATACCTGGGATGTTCTTTACGACCTGCCGTCTCGTCGCTTTTTCATTACCTGCAAACCCGATGAAAAAGCCCTAATCGCCGTTGTTTGTCACTGCTGTAGCACATTGCATCATCCGTGCTTGACATTATTCTGGCCCTGATCTTCAGTCAGCTTCCACACCCTTGAATGCTGGATGCCTCGCTCCCATTGGAGGCTCTCAATTGCTTTTTGCTTGCTTTTTTTTTTTTTTTTTGCCTGCTCGGTCCTCGGTTCTCGTGTGTGTCTGTGTGCTGTCGACGTTTTGTCTCTTGTATTTTGCCGTGCATGTGGATTTGACTGTAAAGTCTGTGTGACTCTTTGGTCAGTTTACTATTTGTACAAGAGTGCCACAATGCTTATTGCACATTACTCCTCTTTTCCCTTTGTGGCTCAAACCTTAAGCCCCATCACACTACTGGGTATCTGCCTTTCATTTCAGTGGCATTTGTAGCACACACAGTTTAATCACCAGGACATGCACAATTTTTTCCACAACAAACACTTTGCTGCTTTCATACATCATGCACATTTGCACCTCTGCAACAGAAATTTAGATTTAATTCAATCATAGCTTTAACTATCTGCTCAGGCCACCCTATTCTGTCTGCACTAATGAAAATTCAGTCACCTTAGCATGTTCGTTGCTCTTTTTTAAGAGTGACCTTTGTTCAACAGTAGCTGAACAGGAGTAATGGCAAGGGAAAGACATGCAGTAAATAATCGGGGACTGGAATTGAACCGGGAACAACTTTGTCGAAAACTGTAGTCTCTGTAGAAACTACAGAGGCTCACTGATAGACGGTGCGCCTCCTCTATCAGTGAGCCATGTGGCGCCCCAGCATGTTAGACGTGTGCCACGCTTTCTGAGTAATTCCACTAGTACTTATCTGACCACTTGGGGGCACTCTTAAAGCATTACATCTTATGCCCAGGTGTTCAGGTGATTGTTTGCTATGAAGAAATAACTGAAAGGAGATGGTGATGTCATGGCAAGAAAGTAATTTAGACCGATACGACACGTTTTTAGCACGACAGCGAAAAATATATATTTTAAACAGCATGCTGTGTGTGTCCAGAGCAGACAGATAGTCCTCTTCTTTTTCTTTCTTTTCTGCTAATTTTTCATGGTACCATCTTGCCTTTTCTCTCTTTCTTTCACTCCTCTCCACTGTTGCTCCCATCAATTTCAGTCACTCTTCTCAGTGGTGGACAATCTGTAGAGTCAGCAGAACAGTGAGGCTTTAAGGGAGGGGGGAAAAAAAGCCTTTGTTCTGCAACGTCCACCTGTCACTGAGATAAGATTGATGAAATGTTGTTTAGCCAGAGACTTCAGCCCTCACTCGCAGAAGGGTGCTGAGTGAAGCCCTTGTCAAAACCGAGGATCATTTCTCCCTCTCACTTTATTTTTCTCCTGCTGCACTACTTTCCGTCACTCCCTTTGGTCAGACACATGGTAGCAATCACAAGATATCCGCAAAACACGCAAACTCCGAGGAGCCTTGGAGTTTTGCAGAACAAATTTAGATAAGTTTAGGAACAGACTATTATCAAAAATTGGTTTGTCATGTGGCTTTCTGGTAGTGCCTAGATTTTCATACATTACCATACAGCAGCTGTCAACACATGAAAAGAAAACTGGAAATGAGATTAGGAGATTATTGCAACTGACTGATTATGGAGCTTTCAATCGATGAGATCATGATACATTCGAAATTATTCCAAAAGCAACCAAGGTTTCGGCTCTGCTGTCATTTAAAACAAACCTTTCAGGCTATTTGGAAGCTGGAATTACTCCTGATGTTAGATTTATGTTTAATGTTAGCTTTGGTGAAATTTCCTGCTGCACCGTAGCATACACCCATGAGCACACTGACAGCTCGTATGTTGATGTAGTAATGACAAGGGTTATGTTCTGTTGGAGTCCACTGTACTTTGGGCTCTGTGGTTTCCATTATGAGACTGTGGTTTCCATTAGTCCAGGCTTCAGCCGACGGTTTGGCCCGGAAACTGATTTCAATCCTGGCTGAACCTTGTCAGAGACCTTTAGGAGGGAAAAAAAAAGGGTTATCCATTTGAATTGTGCAGACTGAGACATATTCACTCTGGACAAAAAGAGAAAGGCGTTACATCCTAAAGTACATAGCTTTTGCCCGTCAGAGAAGATGTAGTATTACCTATTGCTGTCATAGTTTCCTCAAAGTGGGTTGAAAACTTAACATTGAGCTAAAGTTGAAAATGACACATCTTTATGGCAGGCTTTACATAAATGTTCATCACTGATTTAAGGATTAGAGCAGTAGCAATTAAGTGACCTCTGTTGCTGATGTTTGAGCTCTGTGTTTGTTCATTTCATGTTCTTTGTTTCCTCCAAGGACATCCCGGGATGTTGTCTATGTGCATGCTTTATGTGCATGTGCAATTATATACCCTGTTGCATTTGATATTTTTGTGCTGCTTGTATTTATTTATTTATTTTTTGCTTTGTTTTAAGTTTCTGGATTTTTATGTTTTATCGTAAAGAACTGTGTCAATAATGTGTTTTTTTTTTGTTGTTTTATTTATTTTTGTTTTTTAGATGCAGTGCCTTAAAAAAGTATTCATACTTCTACAACTTTATTACATTACAATTGCTTTCTGTGGTGTATTATTGGGGGATCTGATTAGGTCGGCCAACGAAAAGCAGTCCAAATTAAAAACTGTGATTTATATTTGTCACACTTTGTTAAAATGTGACAACGGTTCTCGTTTTACAGCAATTGCTTGAGTGTGGTATTCTGTGGACATCTAGAGACTAAACTCTTTGCCCCTTCTTCATCCCAAATCACTTAATCTTATCTGGAGGTGGAGAGAGTCTGCAAAAATCTATTTTCACATTTCACTACAAATTCTGAGACAGATTTGTTTCTGTACTTTGAATGGATCAGTGTACCAGATTAACATATTGTACTCTAACCCAATTCATGGCTGTGTTTTTAGTGTTTAGAGCGATGTGCTTTGCTGGTTTTGCAACACACCAAATGTTTTGGCTGTAGATATAAAAAAGTTTAATTGTGGTCACTTTTAATCAGTACAACTTCTTCCATATGTTTGTGGTAACGGGACTTAAAGATTTCTTTCAGCAATGTTTTTTCCCCCCTCAATATTCTTCCATATGACCTGGATTTTTGTAAAATGGCTTACCTAATACTGGAGATGGTTGATGTTTAAGCATTTCTAGGACTTTCTCCCTAAACTGTCTGTTGTGTTTCTTAGTCTTATGATAATATTTGTTTACTGACCTTCTCTTATGTCTTCACAAAACAAATTGAGAATGTGTTTGGATGAAAGAAAACCTAGGTGGGCTCTATTTTCTCATTAGGTGACATGTGGAGGAAATTTGTTGCACTGGATTCTGTTTATGGGCATCAGAAGAAAGGGGACTGAATACGAATGACTGCCGTTTAGATTTTTAACCATATCAATAAAATACCTTGAGGTTTGTATTTGTAATGTGACAAGATGTAAAAAAAAAAGTTCATGAATACTTTTGCAAGGCACTTTAGATTCAGCAAAATTGCAAATTACATGACAACTAGATGGGAGTGAAGTTGTTTTTGATCAGACAATATACATTGCTGACTTTTAGCGAGTGCAGATTGGAAATAAACCCAAAAATGTTGTTATATTTGAACCCATCTTTTGAAGAAAGGAAGGTGAAAAATACAACACTATTCATGACTTCGGTCAAGTAAATATTTCTCTCTTAAGACTAAATATTGGTTTGATTGTGGGAAAAATATTTTTAAATGTGGAGAAATAATGTTTAATTTATCAATAAATAATAGTTGTGGAAAAACAGCAGCAAATGCTTTTGTTTATATGTAAATTCATTCTTTCTGGATGTGGCCTTTACAGCAATTTAATCTTGACCCATTTCATTTCAGTTGTGTATTTGGCACTTCTAATCTTATTCTCAACCAAATTGTTTTTCTATACAGTTTTTCCTGTATAGTTTTTCTGAACTAGTACAGGGGCTACTCAAATAAGGGAACACTACCTATTTTTTATTTTTAACTTTTTAAGAAATGAGAAACATCTTGTGCCAGATAGAGGAAGCGTCTCGCAGACATCTCAGCTCATCAGCTAGTGAGACCACACAATTGCCTTTTAGCTCTGCTCTGGCCAAACATTTGATCACGACTACTCATTAGTTTCTGGTAAAGGTCGGAGGCAACATCTGTTAAAAGCATTTTGTCCCACAACATCCCAGAACTGTCATTCTCTTAATATGGCTGTCGCATTGCTTTGCCAAGTCTGCTGCAGTTCAGTCCTGCCAAGGCCATATGTTTCAGTGCAGAAGACCTAGTGATCTTGACTATGGTTTTCATCTAACACCACTAAATATATTTTCCTTTGAACAAGCCAGATTGAGCCAGACTTCAGTAATGTTCTGTACAGTTTTAAGTCTTGACTTTAATGGTTAATATCTTCACCAGAGCTTCCTTTTTGTGCATTTAATGGTAGATTAAAAGGTGATAAGATTTCACGCAGTGCAAAAATATGACCACAAAATGGCTTTTGTGAATTTTATTTTGGAAACAATTGTGTTAATACAGATCATCATATCTTTCCAACATATTCTGAATAAACTGCACTTTAACTGAAGAGATTCAATTGTTTTCTGGCACATCAAGTATTGAAAAAGACCTGCTGTACAGGTCTTCATAGGATACGCATTGCTGAGAGTGTTGCATTTTGTTGCTCAGAGCCATTCACTCTGTTATAATATGTATTTTTTTTTCAAAATGTATTTTTAGTTATGTAGTACAATTTATCCAAGAAAAAAATATATATGTTGGAATGAAAAAGGCTGTGTTGTCCATAGCCCTCTTCAGGAGACCCCACATATTCTCTGTCAAATTTAGTTCAGGCGCATACCCAGCCTACTAAAAATCTTTAATTGTCTTGTCGCCAAACAATTCTAACGTGGCTTATGATGTATGCATGGAGACAATAAAGCTCCTGGGTCAGAAGTAAATGTTATTTTATTGGTATCTCGAAGTAATAATAATTTAATCTCTCTTGGGAAAACCCCAATTTCAATAATAATAATAATAATAATAATAATAATAATAATAATAATAATAATAATAATAATAATAATAAAGTAAACCAAAAGAATGATGCCACCATTCCCATATTTTACTGTGGAAGTCATGTTCATTTGTTGATACTCACTGTTGTTGTTTTTGCTGAAGTTACATTTTGCAATCCTGGCCCAAAGGTTTTGGTTTGGTTTCATCAGATCATAACATGTTTTTCGACAAGCTTTCCAGGCATTTTTGCAATGGTTGTTTTGCTTTAAGAGAAAAGTAAACTCTGTTTATCCTAGATCTGTGGAGAATACAGTAGGTTGTTGCCACATTGACATTTAGTGTTGCTGTCTGCCTCTTGGCAGTCTCCTAACCAATTACTTTTTGCCATGCTAACATTGTCTCGTATTTTCTATATTTATTCACGATTTTCCCTGTTGTGCCGTGGTGGAATTTTTTTGTACCCTCATACAGAGAGGTCTCTTTAATCCTTTGCAACTTGTCTGCAAACTATGGGTTTAAGCCAAGGTTGCTCTTGTATTATAAAATCAAAAATCCAAGTAGGACAGCTGACCTTTATTTCAAGTTGATCAGATTCAGCATAATTGATGATAGGTGTAAACTCAAGAAGACTGCTTAAAATAACCAGAAGGTGTTCTGACAAAATATTAGTTGAAGGGTGGTCCTCTCCTATGCAGCAAGACTTAAGAAAAAATATATTTTAATTGACTTACAGTGTCATTTTGGAACAAAAAACCCCAAAATGAAACCATAACATATGCTATCTCTAAAATGCAACCCTCCCAGCAAATGACTTTCTTAAATGTTAAAATTATTCCTCCCAACTTGGCATGGCTGGAGATCAGATTGCTATGGTGTCAGATGTGTAAAATTGTGATGCTGGAACTCCAAAGCGCCAGTCACAGTCGCTATAGTGCAGGAGTATAAAAAGTCGTTTACCTCCAGTTGGAGCGATATCTCTACAGAAGTAGTAATCACCAAAACTTCCAGAAGTGTGTTCAAAATACTTACAGCTTTACTCTTAAAAAATATGCTGAGTTGTTGAGTGAGAAAGGCATGGTTTTTACTAAGCAAAATAATTTAATCAACAGGAACTGCTACACATTGCAGGTTAGATCTGTGGCACAAAAAAAAGTAATTGTCTGAAGCACCACATGGTCAAACATAATTAATATTTCAATTTCTTTTTAAAGCAGTTAAAAATTTTCACTTGATCACAGGGTACTCAGTGGTAAAACAGGGACGTATCCTTAACCCTAAGAACCATCTTAAGCAACTCCTGTCTCCCTTTTGGCTGTAATCAGCTCTGTGCGTTTTCTGTCAGATTCCCCAGTCATAATGCTGAAAGTTGCCAAGGAGCTGTCAAATACTCTGTGGTCCTGTTTAGAGTCTGTGTCAGTCACAGGCCTCTGAATCATTTTGAGAGTTTTAGTAATGTTCTGTATAAAAGCACAGAGTTATTGATGTATATGTCTTTGTCAAAATCATTTCTGCTCACAAAGGGCTGGTTTGGCTGAAGGGACAGTTTTTATATTGAGAACGGATGACAGTCCAAGCATTCTGGGATTTGTGATTATATCTTAGATTTTCTGTAGTGGTGCAGAGTTAAGTATTTGATTGCACTGAATTTAACTTCTTCCATTAAATGGGGAGGGGAGGAATTCACTCATATGGCAAAAACGATATAATTCAGTTACTGGTTTGCTTTGAAAATGCATTACTTAACATTGAGGTTGAGGCTTTTTTTTCACTTTCTATTTGAGCTAATGTTGTACTGCTTTGGTTTGTCTGATTTTCTTTGGGAGACATGCCAGTGTCTGCAGTGATTTATGCTGGCCACTCAAGATGTGTTCCCCCCTTTCAGGCACATTGTGGTCTGTGGTCATATTACCCTCGAAAGTGTCTCCAACTTCCTCAAAGACTTCCTACACAAGGACAGGGATGATGTCAATGTAGAAATTGTTTTTCTCCATAAGTAAGTTCATCTTTTCCTTCTTCAAATATGTAGGGTAGTGCAGAATGTTATGCTTTATAGAAGGTGTCCTCACATTTTCTAATCCTTTTCATTGTGTTCTTTGTATGATAGTATTTCCCCTAATCTTGAGCTGGAAGCCTTGTTCAAACGCCATTTTACTCAAGTCGAGTTCTACCAGGGATCGGTTCTCAACCCTCATGATTTGGCCCGAGTAAAGGTATCATTCCTGACCAAATCCCTCAAAATCCAAACAACACTCAGACAGCCACGATCAAAATTACTTTTAAATCGAGTTTTTAAAATAGAGAGCATTCATTCTGAATACCGTTCAAGTTTGAAAAAGACCATTTTGCGAAAAAATAATAACATGCTTTCAAAAACAGTTGGTGGTAAAAACAAAAGACTGGATAAAATATGTATTCTTTTTGCCATTATTGTGTTCTAAAACCATTTGCTTATTTGGTTCTTCCCACAAAGATCGAGTCAGCGGATGCCTGTCTGATTTTGGCCAACAAGTATTGTGCAGATCCTGATGCTGAAGACGCTTCTAACATTATGAGGTATAATGTCCTGTGGAAAGTGAAATCGGTACAAAATAATTTGTTTATATGTTACATTTCGATGGTGAATCTCTGTGGTTGTTCTTCAAGGGTCATATCCATCAAGAACTATCATCCCAAGATCAGAATAATAACACAGATGCTACAGTATCACAACAAGGTAAGTGTTAAAGCACTTATCAGTATGTAAGATTTCACTGTGTTTCTCTTGAGCTCCATAGCACATTACAATCATGACAATACCTTTTCAGCAATGATCATTTACAAACTATTTGCTAATTTTAAAGCAGTAGGAGCAAAGTAGTGTTTTGAAAACAACTTAAGCACTTACTGATCTGATGAATGGCTAAGTTCAAGAGTATTTTCATGTACTGTTTGTGCTACAGCAGAGTATAATATGAGTTTAAAGGAGTGCACTGGTGCAATTAATTAATCTTGATTATCACATTAAGTAGCGATATTTATCAGGTTCGCTCAAATAAATTTACATGACAGAACCAACCCAAGTATGCGCTATAACAGCGAACATTTTCTGTGTGGCTGGCAGACAAACCCGGTGCTTTATGACACCTACTAGACTGGAGTATCAGTGTAAATGTGAGGGCAGAAACAAGTGAAATGAGAAATATGTAAAAAAAAAAAATAATAATAATCTGGGTTTTTGTTTTTTATATTAGAATTAATATGTTGTACTATCAGTCCAAGGATAATCTTATATTTTGTAATTTTCTTTAGCTATTTACATAAAATACAAAACATTGCACCTTTAGAATGATGTATTTGATTGATTTAATGTTAATTGTATATTCAATGAGGACAAATTATCAATAAAAAAAATATATTTTATAGCTTGATTCTGCACTTGTAATAGAAATTCAGGCTTCGTGCTGTTTTGAGTTGGCTGACCAGCTGCTGGTTGTCCCATGTGTGCTTTGTATTTTCAAATTTGTAAGACATTTAGATATAGTGAGAGCCCTTTAAATAATCTTGGGCATTTGCTATGGCCAGCTAAACTGGCTATGTTTGTATAAAATGGCAGTTTTCTAGCTGTCGGTTGAGTCAAACATTAAATGGATCGTATAAACGTCCAGATTGTATCAGCTGTTTGCCAAAACGAACTGTTCCTCGAGCAGTGTCTGAACCAAACGTTTCTATGGTCTTCTTTGTTTTACGACCTTTCTGCCTCTCCTGCTCTGAAGGCCCATCTGCTGAACATTCCCAGCTGGAACTGGAAGGAAGGTGATGATGCTATATGCCTGGCTGAGCTGAAGGCTGGTTTCATTGCCCAGAGCTGTCTGGCCCAGGGCCTGTCGACCATGCTGGCCAATCTCTTCTCCATGAGGTCCTTCATTGAGGTAACTCACAGGAACAGATTTACTCGCCTTGTCTGTCCATCTGAACACACCAAAGTGTCACAGATTTCATTCTCGGCACTCTGAAGATGGTTTTTGGACATGATTGAAGCTGAGGCTAACACAACCACTGTTTTATCTGGTGACGGATGGGCCAGGTCTGTGGGAATTTCACCATCCTTGTGCAGAGAAAGGCTTTCATTGCAGTGTTTGCAGTCATTTTGGCATGTGTTGTTTTTGTGACAACTCATCTGGAATCTGTTCAGTGTTTCTTTGGGCCAACACTAAGGTGGTTGCTTCTATTGAAGACTTGTTTTCATGTCATAAAGATGATGGATCATCTAATAATGACCTGGCTGATGCTTTGCAGGAGAACATCTGCAGTCCACATTGGACAGATGTTGGAAGGGAAACAGTGCTGCTTTTTTTCTTCCCATATATTTTTTTTAATCCACATATGGGGTTTCCATGCCTTTTCTTCTCAGATTGAGGAGGACACATGGCAGAAGTATTACCTAGAAGGAGTGGCTAATGAGATGTACACAGAGTATTTGTCCAGTGCCTTCGTAGGCCTCTCCTTCCCCACTGTGTGCGAGTGAGTATCACTCTTTGCAAAAAGTTGTGTTTTCAAAAAAATCTAAATAACAAAATAACAATAGACGTGTAATGCTCAAAAGCATCAAGTGCTTTTGCATATTCCTTCTCTAATCCAGTGTTTTTGTTTTCCAGGCTGTGCTATGTGAAGTTGAAGCTGTTGCTTATTGCCATTGAATTCAAGTCTGAGCAGAGAGAGAGCAGGTTTGTGAAGTGAATGTTTCTGTCACAACTGTGTGGTAACGGTAAACTTCTTAGGGGTTTGTTTCCAGCAGTAATCATTGGATTGTCTTGTAGTAGATGTGTCCTCAGACTTAATGAAACCGATTTTGAAATAGTCGTGTTCTGGTTGGAAATGGCATCTCTCAATAGACAATAAAAACACAAATAGGAGTAGGAAATCTGAAATACATTTACTGCTTTTCATTTACATATCATGAAAAAAATATATGTCAAAAACGACTCTGAGGGTATTATGTATTTTTGTTATATATTTTCCAGGTGTATTGGCATTTTATAGCACAATCGAGTAAATAAGCTACCTTCAGTTGTTATAAAAATGCTGTATAGCATAACGTAAAACACATCAAGCATAACTTAAAAGAAATTTAACTCCTTGAAAATTGGCCTCTGTCTTTTTAAGAAGCCCCTACTCTTTCCGACCTTTAGCTGTCTTCATAATATTGTTCCTCTTTAGGTCGTTGGCAACCATTCATAGAGTGTTAGACTGACAATCAGATTACATGACAATCTCAGTAGACTTGCAGTTTTACTAGGTGTTTGCCAATTGTCGCTGTTGCTAGTCTAGCGGAACTGAGTGGGAAGGCACGCAGTATGTGCTGTGGGTTGAAAGCTCAGCTGTAGTCTGGAGAACCAAGGAAGAGGTTTGTGGAAATAGGCGGCGCTTTGTGACAGAAAGCACTTAGGCACCCGTAAATATTTGCCACGGGAGATTCAAGGATTCCTCAGATATGAAAGAATCAAAGCAGTCCACCAGGTATGTTTGCTATGAGTCGATAACATTATAACATGAGATTAAGCTCAAAAATAGTTTGTTTTTACACAATAAACTCCTGTAATATGCCTTTTAATAATCAGTAGAAAAATCTTTATTCGCATTGCAGCAATGGAAACTTTGCTAACCAACTTTTTGCCTATTTCTACTGAGACATTGATTATTTATATTTGGTGATGAGCTCTTAAGTTTTTCCTCCCTCCACAAACTCTATTAGATTCAAGTCAGGTCTCTGACTAGGCCACTAAAAAGATTAATTTAAAACTGTTAGACACATGAAAATCTTTGAGCTTAATTGTATTGAGAAATAGTTTTAGACAACTAAGAAGTGGTTGCATTAAAACCTTCCTATTGTAATCAATACCATTTACAGATTTACATTGCAAGTACGCTGAGCAATCAAATTTCACATTGCGTTTCCCAAAGTTAACTGCATAGTGTTCCCTTTGAGTGTGTTTGATTACAGCCTACTCTGCCTTAGTGTTTACTACATGACAACATATAGTGGTTTTTTTTTCAATTACCTCAATTGCCAAATCCTTCCCACCCCTCCCCATTTCACCTATGTGAAATGTTTCTTTTTTGTGTGTGTGTTCTGACAAAGCTGCATGATAATGTCCATTTACAGAAATGCTCATTTTGACATTAGTGCTTCATTTTATACTAACATTTTATAACATGATGCTGTTTGCTCGTATTTCTTTCAAATTGATTCACTTTAAACAGATCCCCTTTACAGTGGCTTTCAAAGAACACACTCTTGTTAAAATGTATAGTATTTGTGATTTTTTTTTTTTTTTTTACCACAATTCATTATTCCACATCTTTGTTTTCTTCAGTTTGAGAAACAACCAATAAATCAACTAAAATACAAACAAACCTGTTAGATGTAAAAATGTAAAGTAAAAATATTAGTAAAATAAAAGCTTACAATGATCTGTATTCATGTGCATTTGTTTGATAGGAGTCCATCAGCATCCCATTCTGCAACCTTTGAAATACTTCATAGTCGGACGTCTTGTGAATCAATCATTTGTTGAGTTGGACTTACTGTAATGCTAAAAAAACTAAATTCATGTTCACCTGCAGATGTCTGACAAAGTATTATATTTTTGGTTGAAAACTGACTGGTATTAAGACCAGTTTATAATTTCCACATTCTTGACTTGAACGTCACCTTCATCTGAGAACAAATAATCCCAGATCATGCCACTGGCGCCACCATGTTCCTGTGTGGTGTTATTTTTGTGATGCACAGTGTTGTTTGGAATTGTGGCCCAGAAGTTAAAGTTTCTTTAACTTTTTTCAACCTGCCTGACCATTTTTTGCATCATATTTCTACCTGTTTTGGAGCGACTTGTATGTTCTTTTGATTCCTATTTGACCCTCTATAGTTAAATTGATTGTAATTGTTGGGAGCTGTGAACTCAAAAAAACTAAAACTAAAATCTACTTTAAAGATGTGCATCCAGTTTATTGAAGCTTTACTTTTTGACATTTCCCCTCTCACAGATTTGTGAGATTTGAACCCCTTGTCCCTTTTTCATATAGAAATTATATATATATATATATATATATATATATATATATATATATATATATATATATATAAACATTGAATACATTTTTATAGTCTTTATTTTTATCCTAAAACTTGGGTGTTTAACATCATACTTTTTTTGATAGCCACTGTATATTGAGTGTAATGACATCATGGTCTTTTTTTTCTTAAGTATTTTCAGGCCTTTCCATGAACTGCCTACAAAATATGTCCTACTATGCAATTGTTAAAGAGAATCTATCTTTACAGAACCTTTTAATTTTTTTTAAAGTAATCATAAGGTCATTTTTAGGAGCAAAGACTTCAGCATCGGACCGGCGTCAAATGCTGCCATATAAGGGCTATTTAGTGAACATGCAGAGAATTATGTAGCAACAGTTACATTATCCTCTTCTTTTTATGTCATTGATAACTGTTTGATTTGAGATTTTTTCTTGTTGTTTGCAGAAGCCGAAAGCGGTATGCCCTCTACCTTATCTTACTTCCAAAGTTCCACCCAATCTCCACCACTTTAAAGCTTCTGACTTTGGGAGTTTCCCCCAAGGATATTTTTCCAAACACTTTCTCACAGGCCTCTTTTTTTCTGATTTTCTATGGTGTCCCTTGTGCTTAATGCACTAACTTCTTTGCAGGCAGAGAGAGAGGATAGATAAATTGGAAATGTTTGTAGAAGTGCTGTTTCTTTGTCTTTGCTGTTGTCGGTGTACCAAGGCCAAACTCTCACCCTCTTCATATCTACCTTGATTTTGGTCTTTTTTCAGTTTTGTCCTTAACCTTCTTAATTGATTTTCTTTTTTCTTCCCGTTCAGTTTTTTTTTTTTTTTTTTCTTCAGTGTTACTCGGTTGAAACCCTTTATATGTGTGTTTTCTCAGAGAAGATCAGCATTCCACTCATTGGTGTTTTTATATCAGTGTCAGAGCAGTACTTTGTGGTTCTTCATCTCAGAATCAGTGATTTAGTTTATGTGCAAACATGTTGGATCAGATGTGGTGTTGATAAGCACTGATCTGCTTTTGTCAACTTTTAGATAGACACATTGCTATAGACAGTGGCTGACACAGCAGCATGTTTTTTTTGCTTTCATGGATTTAACACCAATCTCACATCAACCTCTTATGCTGATAATGCCCCACTCTAGAAAAAGCATGGAGCTGTTGAATTTGGATAGCTGTAGATTGATCAAAACTAAACTTTAAATTCACAAGCACCACAATTCACTTTTGCATTCCATGACCCTGTCATATTCTGTGCGACATGTGTATCCATTTGTGAATGTTTGTGTGTCTGAGTATGCGTGACTACCTTGAGAGGATGATTTATTATTTTTTTTTTTTGTGGGTGAATGCGCATTTTGTTTTCTCCATGTGCGTCTCAGCCACCATGTACAGTCATGCTTGTACGTCTCTTGAGTAGATGTGCCTAAGTGAGGTCACTTCCTGTCAGTTTGGTGTTTGAGAAACAATCCAACTGCACAGAAGTTACTGCAACCGTCTGCATCTACGTACCTGTCCTTATACCTGTACTGCGGTGGCTATGCCTTTCTGTTTGATTCCTGTCCTCTTCATGCTGTTTGGTAACTGCATGCTCCAATACAGTCACATAAGATGTTTGATGCTTGCCTTGTTGCTCACAATGTGAGGTTTTGTAACTTTGACTTTCACCAGTTTATACCTGATTTCCAAAGATGTCATGGATTGGTACGCCTGTAAAATCTCAGATTTGGGCAACAATGTTTGTGGAACTGTATTAGCTGAATTAGTAGATGTACTTTTTACTACATAGCATGCCAGAGATACTGCCTGTCTACTCCTCTTGGGCCATCCCATACGAGGGACTGTATATCATAGTCATGGAAATAACAATTAGATCTGCATGACTGGTGCAATACGATCACGGATATGAGTAAAATATATATGTATGTATATGTATATGTATATATATATATATATATATATATATATATATATATATATATATATATATATATATATATATATATATATAAAATCAGCCATAGAGTTATGATTACCTGCAGATCGTCTGTGACTGAATGATTCTCTTGACACAGCATTGTCTTATAGAGTGTTTTACGGCATAAACTGCCTTGAAAAGGTAAAAAAAACAAAACAAAAAAAAAAAAAAACACAACAACAGTAAGTTCACAAACTTCTCAGATACATTATTGGAAGATCTGATGATATGCAGACAAATTTTTTGGCACCTTCCAGCAGGAATGCGTAAAAAGTTTACTATTCAATTCATCCTTTGTTTCACGAGTATAATCTCACATTTTGGAAAATTAAAGCCTTCAGACTCAATACACCCTACTGTAACTCCACTGTCAATGCTTATAGAACAGATTAGCTGTCTGTCTTCACCTGTGTCATTTCACATGGTTGGAGCATATGAAGTGAGGGGACTTGGAGTATTCCTCTCTCAGGATTTTCTAGACTAGTTGTTTTTTTTTTTTACCCTCTCATCTTCTGTTTACCCCCTTTAAGAGGATTTTGTTATGACCATGGAGATGACAATGGAAGTTCAAGTAATTATTTGACTTATTCACTTGTCATCCTTTGGAAAGACTCAGTAATGTATTTTTTCAGTTGTCTGGTGGAGTTAATGTGGTTTTAATTTAATATCTCCTGGGATTTGCTCTTTTAACAATGTTTCCAAGGCCTTTGAAAGACAAAGATTCTCCATCACATTTATGGTGAACATGTGTGTTTCCATATTTTCATTCTTTGCCTCACTAAAAATCCAGATCCAGTTGTTAGATGCCGAAGAACTGAGCAATAGTAGTTTTCAGTTTTTGTGGAGTTTTCTCAACTTTACGTGTTTATTTCAATGGTTGAGGAACACTGTCTTTTTCTGTGATTCCCAAAGTACTGATTGTATGGCACATAGATTAGTTTGATTAGTTTTTTGTACTTTTACCAGTGTAAGATAATGCTACCGAAGTGAAAGATGCATTTATTTTAAGGCTTTTTTACACATCCTTCCTAATGACGCCAAAAAATGTGTCTATGTCTGCAAATCGGGAACAACCACAACATCTAAAAACATTACCACATGTTCTTCTGGACCCAGAATATTTGTACTAGACACCTCCAGATGTTTCCTTTGTAAGATCTGAGTGTCCAGGACAAAGAAGCCTTTTTACTGGCAAACGGGGATCTCCTTAATATTAAGTGGGAGTTCATAATGTTATGGCTGATTGATGTTTGTTTTATTTTCTCAATGTTACTGTTTCTAGAGCTCAGAGGAAAGATTGTTTTGTGTTAAATAAAAAAAAAAATCAACTGTCTAACATGTGTCTATAATTATTAATGTAAATCAAGACAATAAGAAAATATCTCCTCTTTTTTAATTATTTAAAAAAGTATGAGAGACAAAAAAAAAAACAAAAAACAAAATAATTTGTCATCTGAGCTTATATTTTGACGGAGTGTAATTTTTAAAGGGTCGTTGGTTCGATGTTCGATCAAAACCTTAGTTGACACCCATATCATTGATGATTGTTGCCTGCAGGTAACCATTAATGACCAGTGCGCGCGCGCGTGTGTGTGTGTGTGTGTATGCGTGTGTGTATGTGATTACAGTATATATGTGTGTATTCTGTGTTGTAGTCTAATTAATGGGGAATGATACAGCCAATCACTGTAAGAGTTTTGAATTGAATCCACTCACCAAAAAAAAACTATAACATTAGAATATGTCCTGTGATGCAACATTATTCTAGTGAAAAATAGATATAAATATTAACTTTGTATTTTTTATTATATTAATTTAAACGGTAATACTACTTTAAAGGGGACTTATTTCAATTTTTCTCATCTTTTATTGTAACCAATAACATATTTCGTATTGCACTCGAATATATTTTCACAAAAGTTGACAGAAAGAGCTGTTCATTCCCTTGCATCCTGCTGTCAATTACTAACTGAAACAAGTACTATAACTGTACATTCTCTATACTGCAGTCGTGTCTCAGTGGTCATCATAACATAAATTTTGTTTTGCCAAGATGACTGTATTTGAGTGCTGAGACTAAAACCACTCCATGGCCATGATTTTAATTCTTTCTGCCCTCGTCCCTTTTACTTGTACCTCTCTGTCCCTCTTCCCACCCACTGACCAATCCAGTATCATTTTGTGAGAAAGAAAAGAATTAAAATTCAGTGTACGATCATACTGTTGCACATTTTGTCCATCTGTGTATCACATGCACAAATTGCACTCAAGCCAAGGAGATATACCTGTTCTTACTAACCTGACACACGTGAAACCACTAAATTAGAGTGGAGTAAACGGAAAGATGAAACTCAGTTCATATCAACAATGTCCCAGTCAGATTGAAAGCCTTAACAAGTGTGTGTACCATTCCTCTTGATTAGCGTGTTGTGGGCATGATCTGAGTAATGTCTGGACATTAACAAGCCTTTTTTTTTTTTTTTTTTTTTTTTTTTTTTCTGTCTGTATGTCCTTGATTTCCCAGCATCCTCATCAATCCAGGCAACCACGTCAAGTTGCAGGAGGGAACACTGGGATTCTTTATTGCTAGCGATGCCAAAGAAGTAAAGCGGTAACTATGCATCCCTGACGGAAAAGAAACCCCCCAAACGAATCTAGGGATTTAGGAATTGAAGTGCTTAACATTTTCCTGTCATTTTTAGAGCATTTTTCTACTGCAAAGCTTGTCACGATGACATCACAGACCCCAAAAGGATCAAAAAGTGTGGCTGCAAGCGACGTGAGTATCTGTCCTGGTACTGGACGCCACTGGCACCTTTCTCCTCCCCGTCCTCCCATCCCTCAACCAACTTGTGGGTTTATTTGTCTCTTTTTTAGCACATCAGGTCTCTACAACACAAATCTAAAAGCCTCTCATTGTGCCATTGTTATTCTGTTCAGTGCTAATGTGTTTTATGTCATCACACCATTATACTCATAGGAAAGTGTTTGATATGGGTCCCATTTGAACTGCCATATCATCCATTATGGTAGGCTCATTTGTCCAGAGTTTCTTTGTCCTTTGGTAAATATTTAAATGTTGTTGTCACAGTGCATCTTTCCTTGAGAGTGTAAGCAACAAATAGCGACTTACCACTAAGAATAAGTTAAAAATGAAGGAAAAGTGTAATAAAAACAATATATCAAATTGCAGTAGCACTTAAAATGGCATTATTGACAGACTTAAGAAAACAAGTTTTCTTTGTAATGTTTGAAACAATCAATAGCAGTATATCCAGCAATTTGTACTCTTATAGCTCTACATCATATTAAATATATTCAGATATATTACCAAGTCATTTTACATAATAATGAAAGCAGTTATTGTTGAGATCAGCTGCTCTTCTAAAGAACTTCATGTACATCACCCTCCACACTTAGATGTGTAAAAAGTCTTAAAATCATGTGCATCATACTCATATTTCATATAAAATAAATGTAACTAAAGCCTTTTTATATAATTTTAACGTTTTCAATGTCTAGGAGCTTCAGTAATTTATGAGTTCCTGTTTTTCTGAGATGTAATTACCTAGACACTCTTCAATATGGGAAAGACAAAAATAATACGCTTTTTGAGTTAGCCAGATGAATAGTGATTTTCATAAGTGCGGGAATGTCTAACAACTATTTGATTAATATAATGACACATTATTTCAACCAATTGATGACTGTTGACTTATCTCTCCTTCAAAAATCAAAAGCAACTTTATTTTAATTAATTAGTTTCAACAATCAAATTTGGCATTTATTGCAGATCATAAAATAAAATTCAGATAAAAAATTCCAATACTGAAATGTGAATTATAGCCACATATTAGGTGCCAACTTCCAACAAGTCAAATGTGTATACAGTGAATGTGTACAAGTTTAACTACTTAATCAGCAAAGCATCTTAATACCCAGTATGCTCTGAATGTCAAATATGATAAGACTGAACTGGAAATTAACTAAAATAGGACTAATTTCAGTCTTTAGGAACTTGAGAAAACCCATTTATTTAAAATGTTTCAACAGTGAGTGTGACTTTTCCATTTAAATGAATTACATTTATTGGCCGTTTTGCATTGTTTTTATTTTTTGTGGATGGAAAATGATTTATTTAAATGTTGACAGAATCACAGTTAAATGTGGTTGATACACTTTTACAAGGGTCTTGGAAAAACTTGGAGGGTGCTGTACATGATAGCCATTGACAACATACGGTGCAGAACTTTTGTCTGTAAAATTTCATTTAGATGTAGCATTGTAAACATAGCATAATATTTGTACACATCAGTTGTCAGTTAATATTAGCTAATTGGTAGAAAAAAAAGAAAACAAAGTAAACGTTAGATAATTTAAAATGCTGTCACAGACAGACACCGTAATTTGTCTAGATTAAAAATATACTCTTAAAATTTTCAAATTTTTTTCTTTTTTTTTTTCTTTTTTTTAATCTGCCACTTATGTTTCAAGTAGAAAAAAAATCAGGATTCATAATATGTTGTGGACACAACAATATCTTGAATGATATTATCTAAGTTGCACCAAAAGGTTGCATTTGTAGAGGCTGTGGAACCCTGCCCTGCAGTATGTTCTGGTATATCATGTTCTGTTGTCCTTTATTGTTTTTGTTTCCATGTTTCTTTATGACCAGTGACAAACTTTTGATGTATTTCCTTCCCTGCTGCCATTGGAAAACACCTCTTTATTTTAACTACTCATTGGTAGTGATTTATTGTGAGTAAAACACAAATGGGTGTCTTATTACCCAGAGTGCAGTGTGTTTTACATTTTTCCTCTTTAGCCAATAGTATATTGTATCTATGTTGCATGTACCAGTGTAGCTTCTGCATCCCTTTCCTCGCCTCTCATTTCTTACACTGTGCTCAGACCAGACCAAAGCGAATGAGCATAAATCAAACTTAAAACCAACCTCAGGGCTTCTCCTATTTTCTTTTACCGACACACAGATTAGCTTAGAAGAAAAGAAATGAAGTTCAACCTAATTGGATGTGACTATCGACCTTTGCCGTTTTTGGTCCCAAATTGAGAATCCATCTAATCTCATCTTCTTTATGTATAAACCAATCTGCTCTGAGATTTTTGTCATTATCCCGCAATAAAATAATTTAAAAAACAAGATGTCAAAGTGTAACCATATAGAGCTGGTGACATTTAAATTGACCTGTTTTCTTTCAAAAGGACATTTGTGCGGCTGTTCTTTTTTTTTCTCTCCCAGAGAGCAGAAGTTGTCCTTGTGGGAAGTTCTGTTAAATCCTAACAAGCAAAGTTGCCAAAACACAATCAAAACAATCTGGTCTCTTTCTTGTCCCACTTTTTTCCTGTGATCTCAGCCCCCATATTTCCTCAACTCTGGCTGAGTTTTCAGAGATCATCTTCTCCCTTCAGACTTGAAATGCCGCTGCGACAGTGTTGCACGTTTCAAATCTGGAAAGTCGTTGGGCTCTTTATATTTTAGACTCGCTGCCCTGGGTGATAAGTCCTTTAGAAATGCAGAAACAATAAGTGTCATAGCATTCTGCTGCCACTAGATGGCGATACTCTTCCAGTCATGTACAATACTAAATGTAAATGTTGTCGTCTGTGGAGGAAACTCAAATCTCCTGAAAGCTGTTCAGCAAAAATACAAGGATAGATGTGTGGATTTGTCAAATACATGTAATCAAAAATTGAACATGTCTTACAGATTTAACCACACCTAATTTGTTGCGTCATTTTGTACTCTTTGATGTCTTATGTTTACATGATACATTAATTGCTCAAAGGATTTGAGCCAGCTGTATCACTTTCCTTGCACTCTTGCTGAATAATTAAAAAAAAAAAAAAAAAAAAAAAAAAAAGCTTTTGGAGGGGATTTACATCAGAATGCTGCTCTCTTGGGGACATCCTTTATATTCAACATATCATCTCCGAATGCTTCTGTTTGAGTGTGATGTCCTCCGGTGAATTGTAAGAGGGAGGGACTCATCAAACACCCATGCAGACATTTTAACTCGGTTTATGTTATGTTGAATCATCAGTCAGAGATGCCCTATAATGAACAGCTCATGGTCCTCAACTAGAATCTGGTTATCTGTGAAGTCAGAAGTGAAAGACATTGTGTCAGAGTGTGTGTGTGAGTGAGCGAGTACATGTATGAGTGTCTTTTGTTCCCCATCTCTCCCTTTCCATTTTGTTAGAAATCCTCATTGTTACTTATATATACTGTGTACCAAGTGGCCATGCAAAAACTCTGAGTTTCAACAAATTCAGCATGATGTTACAGTCTCACTGCACCTGTTTGCCCATGCCTCCCCCCCAGAACTGGTTCATTAATGTGAACAGTTATCTCCTTTCCCTGTTGCTCACAGCAAAGCTGCACTTTTTGCATGCTGTTCATATGCTCACGAAGCATACGTGCATGCTACTCGATAAAACAGTCCCTGGTGCCTTCTGCCGAGTATTTTAAACCTATTGCTTCATTCAAGATCTGCTTTTCCAATCTGAGTCATGGGTCACGGATGTTGAAAGTGTCTTTGCACGGGTGCCAGACTGTATTACTGTGCTGTCTATTTGCACCCCTCCATTGAGAGAATGGGGATCATGGACTGTTTCTGCCCAGAGTCACAGCAATCTACAGATGCAGCTCTGGGGATTTTCACTGCTCCCCCTTGGGTTCAAGGTTTCATACAATGCAGACCAACACATAGCCATGCATATGTGGTTGACTGATCATTAATAAGTTTAAGGTAATGCAATGTTACTTATGTAACAAATAATATAATTTACCAATACAAATTAAATTCTAGGCTGTTCTCAACTTGCCTGGAAAGTCAGACTTAGCTTAATTCATACTTTAAGGGTCTCTTTAATAAGATTTCCTGATTACAAACTAGAAATTCTGGTTTTTGAGTGCGGATTGAGTGGACTACTTCCCTTTGGTATCAGTAGTTATAAGACCAGTTGTCAAAGTATTTATTTCTAGCCTTCTTGTGAGCAGACATTGTTTATTTGTACTGGAAGCAAAGGTGATGTCACACTGTATGTGAGACTACTGTAACTATAGAACATCTTTACACCAAATACAGATCCTTATGTGATACAGTTTTCTTTATAATAACTTTCTCTGAGTTTGCGACATTAAAGTAGTGAACAGTGAGTTTCTCTGCAATGTGGCAGTGCTCAAATGAGGAATTCATTGATCAGAAAAAAAGGATTAGATTATTGAGTTTCTGACTTCTGGTCAGGGTCTAAAATCAGGCAGTTTCAGCAGATTGCTTGGTGCAGCTCTGATCAAAAGTGATATTTCAAATAATACAAGCAATTATTTGTATAAGTTAGTACTTGAATAAAGCCACTTGGTATTAGTTAACTTATACCACAAGTCATAAAAAGCAACAAAGCTCTAAGCTGTTGTTAAACAGGTTGAGTTTATCATTGATTTTTCCTTCTACCGGGGGAAAAAAAAAAAAAAAAAGCCATTTCTCCCTTCAGAGTTGACCAGGTCTTATTAACACAGCATAACAACACCAAAGTAATCCATTAAATGTTTATACAATAGATTAGCAACCAATCGACATGGCCAGCAGACTGAACACCCTTTGGGGAGTGGAGCAGTGAAACTGCAGGCTTTGGAAAAAGCATGAAGTGACCAGTCTAGTAAAGTAGAGTAGTGTGATGCCATGGACACAGGCTCCGGCTGCATGATGGGATACAGGTACGTGATCCGCTCCGAAGGCAAACGGATAGAAGATGTACAAATGTATGAAAGAATGTACATATAAGGTTTGCTGCTGAAAATATTGCTCATGCCTCTTTTTCCTTGAATGCCTCCCCCCTCACTCTCCCCTTGTTTTCTGCCTCTCTTTCCCATAATTACATAGTTTTGTCTTTTGAACTTGTTTCAGCCTTAGCACACAGCTTGACCTCCTTAAGAATCAGAAGTTTTCCGGAACCCATCCGATTGTTACATTACGAAAGCTTTTCAACTTTGTCAAACAGCAAAACTGAGTGAAATTCGATGAATTAATTAGTAAATTGCGATCTCAAAAATGCATTTTGGCGCAAATCGGGGCTCAAGTCTGTGGAGCAGGTGACTAAGGCTTGCACTTTCTGATACAGTTGCCTTCCAACTTCCCCTTAAATGAATATTTCTCCTTTTGCCATTAACCTGCTGCTTTTCCTCTCCTCTCATCCCAAAACATGACTGTAGCCAAGATGTCCGTCTACAAACGAATGAAACTGGCATGTTGTTTTGATTGCGGCCGTTCAGAGCGAGACTGCTCTTGCATGTCAGGCAGTGTACATAGTAACATGGACACCCATCAGAGGGCCTACCCACTTTCCTCTGTCTCTGTTCATGATTGCGCAACCACTTTACGTGCCTGTAAGTTACACCGCCCAACACATGCTGTTACATGTCTGTGATGTGTAGTTTTCTTTTTTTTTTTTTTTTCATGCGGAGGTGTTCAATGTGTCTGTGTGTCGTCTACGTGGCGTGACCTGTTTCTTGTGACACCATAGTTTGTGAAGCTGTGGCCGATGTGAATTTAGTTTTAGGATTACACATTAGCTATTTTTGTTGCTCTACATTGCGGTATCATGTATCAAAATGGTAGTTTTGAGTGGTTACAATGTAAGTGGTGGTGTGGCTCTGTGGTGGCTCTGTACAGTACTGTAGATACGTGGCTACCGCATGCTGCGCCAGTCATGCAGTTGTGTGAAAATGTCACCTCTCAAGCGTGATGTTAAATGTTTTTTAACTGTTCAAGGTAAGACTTCTGCACATACACCGATGGCGGTTCACTAGCAATAATTGTATTGCTGTAATTTGCTTATTGTTGCATAATTGTCTGATGTTTTTAAGAGACTTTTAAGTTCCTACAATATTTTGGTTAGATTTTTTTTAATTCTTTTTAACATTTTTCTGCATCTTTTGTTCAGCTGCGCAAATATTGAGTTTATTTTTTTTAAATAAGAAGCAGGGCAAAACGAATATTTATTTGAGACTGTGGTCCAGGAATGTAAAATAAAAGTGCAGTGTATATACTGTGCTTTTGTTTTTAGACTTCTTTTTGTGCTTTACACTGTATAGATTTTTTTTTCCACATATTTACTGCTTCTAGAAAGTGAAAAAGTGCAAAGCACACTTTGAAGAAAGTTATTTCCTCCCACACACTATGCTGCTCCTGAACTCCTTGAAGGCCTCGTTAACGGTTCAGGCTTTTTTTCTGTTCCTATATTCACCAAAACATATTCCTTGCCTTGTGGCTAGTTTGGCACATCTCGGAGAATAAAAAAAAAAAAATAAATAAAATCTCACATTTGACCGCTTTTTGACCAGTAAGTTAACTAATTAAAGCAGACTTTTGTACTTTAGAAAACTGCCAAAATTGAGCATTTCAGAGAGAAGGCAAAAACAAAAAATGTTTTCAGGAGATTTTTATAGGGTTCAATGATGTAATGCATGTATCTGACACACATAATAGGTAATTTTCTTCATTTTTAAGACAGTTTATGAGATTGTATTGATGATGTCTCATTCAGCTTGCATTTTGAGTGTTCTTTTTGTTGATAACTTGTGGATGGATCACAATTAACACTTTTCACATTAGGACTAAACAATTTGGGTGAATGATATATATATAAAAAACTGGGGGGTAAGAAAAGGAGGTTTTGTATCAAAAGAAAAAAAAAGAGCAGAAAAAAGCAAAGCAGTGATGTTGGTTTTATTGAGGAAAGGTGAGAGGACTCCAGCTCCCGATTAGACCTTCCTTTCCTTTTTTCTTAACAAGAGGACGTGGAAATACTAAATTGTCTGTCAATTAGACATGGCAGCAGTAAAGCCTTGCTATCAAAGTCTTGGGTTCAGACGTACAGATCTGATTTCCTTTTCAACATTCTCCCACCGTCTGCCGACTCAGCCTAGATTAGTGTCAAACACAGCATGATGAGTTTGGCTTGGCCTCTTGTAGTTGGGCCTGCGCTGATATCCCTCGGTACCAATTACTGGCCATTACATGGTTACTGATCTCACTTTTCCTTCAACCCTCAGTAGGATTTAGGGAAAGCCTCCTCTGTCTTAGATTTCTTTCCCTTCTTAAATCTGAATGAACAAAGAAAGATTTTAGTGACGGAGAGTACTGGGCTTTGTCAAACAGGGGTGGTTGGATTTTCCCCTCCTACTAAATGGAGAAGAAATTATAGATTTATTTATAATAACCCCAGCTTTGTTCACAAGTTGATTTTAGACACGTTCATTGAAGTTGATGAATTGGATCGGAGTTTTTTAGTTAGTACAGCCTGTGCTCCAATTCAAGGCAGGTATACCACACACACGCGCGCACACATGTTTGTGTTGCTATCTTTGTGGGGACTTTCCATTGACTTCCATTCATTTCTACAGCCTAAACCTTACCTTTACCCTTTTTCTAACCCTAACCATCACATACCTAACCCTAACCAAAACTCAATTCATACCCTAGCCCTAACTCTGACCCCTGACCCAAAAACAGGGTTTCCCCTTGTGGGGACCAGGCTCCAGCCCCCACAAGGAGCAATTGGTCCCCACAACGTAGTATATGTCAGGAAAATCGTCCCCACAAGGTATTACAAACAAACGTGCGCACACACACACACACACACACACACACACACACCCACACACACACACACACACACACACACACACAGAGTCTTTTATAATGAGGTTATACCAACATAATTTATTACTACTCTCTTAAAACTTCAACATTTGTTGTAGGTTAATTCAGTTGTGTGGTTACTCGTCGTCTTTCCAATTTAAACATTGGAAAAATACAGTACATGACATAAACCCTGAGAGGTAGTTATGTTGAATTAACAGATTTAAAAAAAAAAATAAAACAATTCTATTACCAGTTTCATGTATATTAAGTGTCATAAATGATACTTTGGTAGTTTCTGTAGAATTGTTCGTTAAAATATAAATTTCAGTCGAGGAAAGCCTAAAGGAAAGCCTAAAATTGCTGACTTTAGAGACAAATGGGACTAAAACAGTTACCTAACAATATTACAACACAGTAAAATATGTGGCCAGTTTATGTTGTTTTATAGTCCTGACTCCATATATAGAGTATTATTTATTTGACTTAACGCTTGTTCACATGTGTGGACATATAAAGCTATATTAGAAAAATAATTTCAGTTTTTTTTTTTAATATATGCAGCATAGATGACTGAGCAATTTTAAAAAAATAGAGAAAATTATGAATGAAAGAGATAAAAATCTAACCTAAATAATAATTTTGAGTTCTTTTGTGTAAATGCTTGCCTCTTAATTGTTCACATATTGTTTCTGCTTGTGAGCAGATAGTCACCATAAATAATAACAATAAATAAAACAATCTCTGAAAATATGTGAAATGGTTCCAACATGGATTGTTTAAAAAAAGAGAAAGAAGCCCATATGTAGCAGACACATGGACATGGACTGTGGACTTTGGGCAATGAAGATGCTTTCAGGCGTTTCTACAGCCCCCAGGCCCGTGTGGGAGAGCGCATTATGAGTGCATTCACTTTAATCTTTGTGTCTAAGCATGTGTGTGAATCTACATCTCATCCCAAAGGATTTTTATCTGTTTTGACACAGAAATTATGTTTGCATTTTCATTTTCCCAGCCTTGCTGGTTTGTCACCAAACTTGCCTTGACAGCTGCTGTCCACCAGGCAGGCTTGCCCCCCCACAACCCTTCATCCTATGATGCTGCAGTACGCCCCACATGCTAGCCAGTTAGTCTGCTGCCTTTGTGGTGCAGGCAGATTGCTGGAGACAGATGCCAGGGCCACTGTGGGTCCTTGTTTTGAAGATCTGTGTCATAGGTCAGCCCTGGGCCCTCGCTGTGACCTTTATTGCTGGGGGATAGTTTTGGGAAAAAAAGAGCAAGGATCTTCAGCAGCTCTGAGCTCAGTTCAAGTGCCCACTGCAGTAGCAGTTTGAGGAAGTACCAGTTTTTACTATCTTGCCGGTCAAGGTCAAAAGCGGTAATTCCTGGAGAATTAACAGCACGGACATAAACGGAGAACATGGTCCGTCCTTCTCAAGATTGGAAGTGCAGCATTAAATTCACATTTGGAAAGATCCCAGTTTTTAAAATGTGTGTTTGTGCCAGCTGTCTGGACTGCATGTGTGAAGAAGTCAGCGCTCTGTCAGTTTGGGTGTAGCATGTTCTCCATCCACTACAGAATGATTCTTCTTGTGTATTATTTTTTGTCTTAAATACAAACTAAGTAATCCTTGACATTTTTAAACACACGTAACAACATTCTATTTTTTCTTTAAATATATACGTCTATATATATATATATATATATATATATATATATATATATAAAGTTATATCTGCACTATATGCATAATGTTACATTTATCTCTTCAGAAATTTTATTAAATTTACCATTAGACGTCATTTCATCTTTCTACAAGTTTAGTACACTTTCCTAGAGGCATGGCTCACTATAAATGTACATTTTTTTTATTACTTTTTCCATTTTTGTTTTGCCATCAACCATTGACTTTTTAGCACTGCTGTCTGAATTTTGTCATTCTGTCTCCTCTTTATTTTTAGTTTTTCCTCATCCTCTTAAATCATAACACATCTGATTTTGCTTTGGTTTAATCATTTCCACCACTCTTGTGTTGATGTGTCCCTCTGTGTGACCTGCTACTTGTCTTTGCAGTCTCCTCAGCTAAATATAAGTATAATGGATTTGTCAGATCACGTAAGTGTGTTCTCTGCCCTTCTCCACTCTGCTCTAGCTTTGTGTTTAGACTGTAGCCACCCTCATCACGTCAGATAGTGTTTGCTTTGTTGTCCCAAATTCCTTTAGAATGTAATTCTGTTGTCTCTGTGTCGTACAAGGAGCCAAACTGTAGATATAAACTGAAATTAAAAAGTGTCATGTTAAATATTTCACAAACCAGTAAACATAACCGTAACTACTTTATCTAATCACATATTGACCATAAATTAATGCATTCTTGGTGTTTATACATAGTAGAGATAAGTATTTTTTTGTGTGTTTTCTGAATGGCATGGAATGTAGTTCCATGAAAAATTCTTCTTCTATTCTATTTTGTATTGTGCTGCATGTAGCAGCAGATGGCGCTACAACACCACGGAACAGTGGAAGCCAAAAAGAGGCTGGCGTTCGATTCAAAGCTGATTGCAATCTAGGTAAATCTGTAGTATAAAACTGCTAAGTTAATTACTTGTCACTGTATCAGATAAGAATAAGTTTTATTTTTAAAGACTAATTGTCATGTTTAACATTTTATGTTTTTTTCTTGTTTGTTTTTTTACTTATAAGGCACACTGATATTTAAAACATTTTTTTGTTTTCCTTTTGAAAACAAATAATGGCTTCTTTTTGAGCAGAACTAAAATAAATTGCATCGATATCAGTTTTATTTTTAACTGCATTAACACTAAATTGCATGGCTTAAAGAGCAATCCCACTCCTGTGGCGACGCAGTTGAAGAACAAAGCTTGTTCATGCGGCTAACACTTAAAGCAAAGCCAGCTTTGCTCACGTGGAACAGTAAACATTTTTTAACTGATACGCCCCCCCGCCGCCTCATCATCCAGTTTACGTTGGGACACGGCGATCTGATAAGGTTTGCATGCAGGACAGTACCATCACGCGATTAGCATTTCAAGAAGGGACAGTTGCCGTCTGGGTTGTTCAGGATGCACAGTGGACCTGCCAGGGTGGGTAAGCACTGTGTAACGCTGCACGTGTTTGACAAGGGCCAGATGAATCCAGGAGCTATCGGTGGCGCCCTGTGAATCAAGGCGGCAGCTGACGGCTGGGATAAACGTCTGTTTATTGCCCGGGGCCACCCAAGCCTGCTCTCTCGCCCAAACAACCAACCGACCAACTATCTTTCTGTACCAAACAGAAGAAAAGGGCTTTGCAATCAACTCTGCAAGCAGATCTTTTACTTGCATTCCTCGTTTGTCTTCTTGCAGTGTGCCGTGACCTCTGCAGTACATTCAGATGTACAGGTCAAGACTGCAGTCATAGTCAGATTATATGTTTGTATGTGTGTGTCTCTCGTCACATTAGCTGTATGTATACAAATTATATGTGATCATGTTAAATATGTCACTTTGTCACCGGACTTGGTGATTGTCATTTGCAAAATCGAAAGTAAGCATACTGTTTGGGAATAGAACAAAGATTTTTTTTTTTTTTAATTAATCTTTATACATAATCCAAAAGGAAAGCAATAAATCTTTAATGGCTAAAAGGTTTTGCATTAGTAATATTTATAAATTATTAGTTGCAGTTTCGTATTTCTCGAAATGAAAGCACTGTTTTACACATTATGCTTGAAATGACAACGCCCCATTGGATTTGACTGGATTGAGCTGAGTCGTGTCTCTGCTTTGTGTTAGCAGAGAGAGAAGCATAAATGAGAAACAGAACTGAGAAGCTTCTAATTAATTCATGTTTGCCACTAAATGCAAAGTAAATGTCACTAGGAACATTTCTGTTAGAGTTTCAACACCAGTTTCAGGGGGGAAAAGATGTGATCACTGCTTTTATCTCATGACCTCGGTGCTTCTGCTTTTAGTTGAAACTAAAATAAGTTAAAGAAAAAAAGAAAAAAAATAGCAAACTGATTATTGCAGCTACCTTACATATTTTTTGAAATTCTTACACTGTATACATATAAATTGGGACAATTTTTTAATAAGTAAAATCGTACTTGTAATAAGTGCGATAAGTAGAGACCAACGCAGGCTTTTGCACCCAGTTTTTCCTCCCATTTAACAGCAACGAATGGAGTGCGGCGATCCTTTTAAAGCCAATCATTACATTCACGAGCTCCATTTCTGTCTCCAACATTACCAATGCATTACCTCCTAATGCTCTGCACCCCAACTAAGACCTCCTGGTCAGTTGTGGAGCAGCCAGCATCCCCCTTGTTAATTACCGTAAAGGATGCTCCCTCCCTATGGAGCTGGGACCCGGGGCTGACCCCGCGCCATCACGCCTCGAGATCTCAGGTCTGGTAGAGATGATGGCCAGCCCCCGATCCAGGCCTGCCGTCTGCCGGTGAAATGCTGCTACCAACACAGTGATTAGTCACATTAGGCTCAATATGTTGTCCCCATTTACCAGGAAGCATCTTTCTGTATTTCTACCTCTTCCGTTTCTTGTTTGCTACACGACTGTTCACTCGACTGCCGATGCAGCTGTCGTTGCCCGTGCCGTTTTGCACGGATTTGCCTCCCAATCTAATAGTTATCTCACTAGTTGACTTTTGAGCTACTAGAAAACAATTAAAACAAATTAACCAAAACAAGATTTACTTTTTAAATTTATTTTCAGAAATGTTGCAGACATGGTGATCTTTGAGGGAAAAAAAAAAACAAACAAAAAAAAAATCTCATGAAAAACCTTTTTAGGATGTGATTTAAAGCTTATAAAAATGTGTATGCTCAAGTGTTATTTATGTATAATAATAAAAAAAAACCCAAAGAAACATCGCGTCAAATCTTTATGGACAAAAAGTAAAGAGCAGAATGTTTTTACTTAAAATTAAATCAAAGAGGAGAAACTATGGGGGAAAATGACGCATTATATTTAAGGAGAAATAATTATTTACAAAGTGAAAACAGCTTAAGTTGTTAGATACTCTGAAAATCCATCTCCACAAACAAAATATCATAAAATGACAAAGTCATATTTCTTATCTTTTACCAGAAGAATTAAGTGCTACACAAGATCAGGTGTTCAAATAATAATACGATTCTACATGCTCGGAACAGTTGCGTCCTGCAGCGTTCACATTGATTTGCACTAATATCATGCTGTGTTATTGATTTCTAACCAAAGGACTGATGGGGGTTTGAAGTGACGGTGCACTTGGCTTGGCTAGCGCAGATTGGAGAGAAGTATGTGGATGCCTGTCTGAAAGCTCTTGAAAACGACAAGGCGACAGTAGTGAAGATCAGAGAGCTGTTAGCGTGACTGAAATCTTCAGACGGCTGGTCCTGGCCGCACTCTGGCTCTGAGACCCAAAAGAGTTTTTTTTTTTAAAAGTCTTTCATTTTTCAACAAAGCTAAACATAGCTGACAAGAAACTAGGAGAGAAGTGCCTGTAGAACAACGTCCTGCGAATGCATCGAAGCTTTACACACACATCGAATTTCAACAGAAATCATTCATCTCATTAAAACGTATAACATCAGTCGTGACTTCCTTATACTCAATGATAATGTGCATTTACAAGCTGCTTTCAGAATTTATAGCCCACTAATCCATAGCTTGTTAATGTTCCTTCACCTTATTATGTGAGCTGAACGCTAAATCCTCTTTTATCTTGGAGATAAACACGTGGAGGAGCAATTGTGCTCTGCAGAAGGACCTGAAATTATGTTTCAAAAATAAAATTTAAGAATTTAAGATTCATTTCCACAGCACGTTTATTTCATTGTTGATGCTTTTGTGTGTGCCCCACTGACAGTGATAGTACGAGTCTTTTGCCTTCTTTCATACTACAAAGTTGAATGCACTTTGTTAGATTTTTTTGTACTAGAGTAACACAATGTAGTGCATATTTGCAAAACGAAAAAAAAAAAAGTAACACATTTTCAAAGATTTTTCAAAAATAAAAATCTGAAAACCATGGAGTGCAAATGTATTCAGTCGCTTTTGCTACGAGGGCAACAAATGAAATCCGGCGCGGCCCACTGCCTTCAAAAAAATCACCTGATTAGTATATAGAATCCATCTGGTTGTAATTAGATCTCAGTATAAATCCAGCTGTTCTGTGAACGCCTCAGGGGTTTATTAGTGCACATCATTGAACAAACTGCATCATAAAAAACCAAGGAACGCAACAAGGAGAAAACTGTGGAGAAGTTTAAAGCGAGATTAGGTTATACATGATATCTCAAGCTTTTAGCAACTCACAGAGCTCTGTTGATTCCTTCGTTTGTAAATGGAAAGATGGTGGTAGAAATGCAAACTTGCCAGGATGTGTAGGAGTTCACTGAAGTTGGAAGAAAATAATTTATCAGAGAAGTAGCCAGGGGCCCGATTTTAACTCTGGCGGAGTTGCAGAGATCCAAAGCTCAGGCATAAATATAAAATTATCCAACACTGTACATTAAGTTGAACACGTCATCCCCAAAGTAAAGTGTGGAGCTGGCAGCATCATGATGTGGTGATATCTCCCCTTAGCTGGGATGAAAATGTGTGTAAAAACTTGTTGTATATTATTCCTCTTCACAGTTGGTACATTTCTGCTGGTCTTTTATATTCAGCCCAATGAAATACACTGGATATTGTGGTTGTAAAGTGACATGTTTGGCCAGAAACCATAAACAAAGTGCTTGAGATCCACTTAGATGTTTGTCTTTCTCTGTACATTAATGTACCTCAAAGGAAACATAAATATAAGCGTATTTAGGATGTTTGCCTTCAATGTCAATTTACTATGCATACTATGCATATTTTCTCTCCTGGCTTTTATCAGATTTATCATCATCTGTTACTAATGCTTCTATTATATATCTTCAAGTTTGACACAGAGTCATTAATAAGTTTCCTTTTCTTCTGTTTAGATTTTATTTTTGCAATATTTAATTTTATTTGAGTATTTAATTTTGTTTGCAATTACTGATTGCTAGCTGGCTACTTTTTTATGTGCGGTCCATCACTCACTTTCCCAGCTGCCTTTCCCCTATCTAACACTCTGCCCCTGTATTTGCAGTTGAGGATGAGCATCCGTCGACTCTCTCACCCAAAAAAAAGCAGCGCAATGGGGGGATGCGAAACTCGCCCAACTGCTCGCCCAAAATGATGAGGTAAGAGACAATGATCTTATTCTCCTTGCAGCCTTCAAACAGAAAAGGGGAGGGAGGAAGGATGGATGGATGGATAGAAGTGAAGAAGGGTGGGTAAAACTTGTGTCTGACAGAGATGCTGCTGATGCTGGGAGTTTCAATGGATGGGAGGGGGCAAATTAGGAGTGGCAGAAGAGCGAGGTAAGAAACTCAGCAAAAGGAAAAAAAAAGAGAGGAGAAGTGCCCTGTTAAGCTGTGACTGTTAAGGGTGGCATGCTGTCAGCTGTTAATGACAGAGCTGAAATAATATTTCTGTCATGAAAAGCAGCTGTGAGGAGCCGTTTGAAAACTCCTCTGGCTTTAAAGTCCCAGCTGTCACCTCCTCCAGTCTGGTCCGCATGTACTACTTAAACAATGCTGGCACTAATGACACCGGCAACCAATCAGAGAGACCTGCATGGTTACTTTGCCCTCAGGCTACTGCTCTATTGTGGGAACCCCTGTGAGTACTGTTTCTGGTACTTAAGGCCATATGCAAGATGTATCCTCGCAATCAAATATGAATTTGGATATTACCTTCCTTTTATCCTGTCCCGTGGAATTAAACTGCTGTTAATTGATTTTGAAAGATAAAAGGGGCAGTGTTTTTTAATCTTTCTTTTTTTTTTTGTGCACCTCTAACTGAGAGGCTGTGTCAGATGCACAGCAGCGAGCCCAAGCTTTCACCAGTACATTTGTTTTAGACTTTAACCATAAAATAATGTGTACTGATTTACGTACTTGTTATCTGGGCAGCTTTCAGTCAATATTTTTGACTAACAAATATTCAGGTTTAAAAAATCTAATCAAAATCCAACCAATTTTTAAATGGTTTACTATCAACAAAATTAAATTATAACACTTTTAACTTGCTTACTCAAAATATTTTGTTCAATTATATAATTTGATTTGAAAGAACAAATCAAAAAATTTTAAAACACCAGGCAAATGCTGTGCATGTATAATTTTTCATCCAGAATCACCTTATTTAAGATATTTAAAACCTACAAGTGCAAACTGATCAATACCAAATACTCTTTATTTACAAGACTACAGTTTCACAGCTGCAGTTATTTCAACATTTCTCAAACATAAGTTTGATGAATGTTGGGACCTCCTTAGCATTAGGTTATATTTATGACTAACAAGCTCCGTAACAAAAACGTGAGAATTGGGTATGAAATGCCTACATAGTTTCTGAAATGGTATTCTTAAACTACTCCATCAAGGTGGCATGTGAACACCTAAAACGTGCCATGCAATGGCAACAGACGCCTCTGGCTTAAAACGTGCAGCTTGCCACCATGTTTTGACTTTGGCATTAACATTTCTTTAGAGTTAAAGCTGGACGAACCTTTTAAATCTGCTCTAACAACGTAGCATGGAACATTTTTACCTGAAAAACAGCTAAGACGTTGTGTTAATTAGAAATGACTTCGTCAGACTTTAAAGAAGCTCATCTTGCTAGCTGTCAAGTCTGCTAGCATGTTAGCAAGCTTGAGCTTAGCGCTGTCGCTAAACATTGGCATGAAATGAAATCCTTGCTTCAAACTTTATCAAGCATATTCTTAATGATGGTTCTTAAACACTCTACAATTGTAATAGCTAAAGCACAAAATCAGTTTGCTACACTTTTTTCTTTATAGTAATTTAAATTGCATATATTTTTTTTAATATTACCTGACTGTTGTCCTCATATATGCTGTTGTGTTTTTTAATTGTTAGAGCAAAAATAATAAATTAACTCATAAAACGTTTTCACAAAACTGAAAAGACGTATATATTCTTTTGTTGTTATTGTATCTACAGATGCCTTATTGTTCTGTATTGTCTTCATATTCTGCCGTAGTTTTTTTCCTAGGATCCCTTAGGCAGCGATCTTCCTTCTGCACTTGTGTGCCTGTGTGATTTTGTCCGGCATACTTGCCCGCCTGCCTGCTTGCCTCCCCCTCAGTTCTCCACAAAACAAGGACTTAATAAGCCTTTACACTTGCCAAACCATTAGCTCGACATAGAGTCATACCCCTCAGTCTAGTTTGCAACGGAGTACCATTTTAGGATGCCCTTGCTTAGAGGGTGAAAAAAAAGAAGGAAAAAAAAAAACTACAAAAACAAGACACTGGCACATTTCCAGCTAACTGCTTGCTTAAAAGGCTGTTTAGTTTGCCTAACTTAAAGCACAAAACCTTTTCTTCTCATCCCGCTCTGCTTAAGAGATGGTCCCTGTTTGCCATGTAATATATGCATCTCTGCTTTGATCTCACAGTGATAATAATCCTTGCGAGTTATTTACTCAGTTTCCAAAACACTTCAAAGTGGTGTCAAAGTTTTCTCTGCTTTAGGGGGGCTTCTGTATACTGCTGGCTCTTGGGTACTGGCATGACAGGTCCTCTGTTATATGCGTAGATTTTCTTTTCTCCAAGACTTTGCCCGTAGCAGAACATCACATTATCCATTGTAATCCAGTGCCCCTGTTAACATATAATACAATACATAAATATATATATATATATGTAACAGATTAACTTTATGAGATGGATTTTAATGCACAATGAAGCGTGATCGCTTGAGGTAGCCCCAGGGAAACTTTATTCACCAATCAAGGCAAGGGAAAACACAATAGCGAGCTAGCAGAAGAGCCAACATACGTATCAAGTATTTTTTTATTTATTTTTTTTTTATAGGACTTGCTGCCTGAAGGTCTTTGTAAATAAATAATGATCAACAGATTGGCTGTGGGCTTTTGAAAAGTATGCCTTTGTCAGTTTGCATGATGGGGAAATTTTCAAAGCAAGAGGCTGCCTTCATAGTCTGGCAGGGAGGGATTGGGGGAGCACGCCCATCCCCAGCCTGTGACTGCAGACTGATGCACTGGAATAACTCAACTCTGTTTGAAATGTATACAGTGGGAAAGAGCTGGAAATAAAGGGAGAAAGGGGCATGATGTACTGGAGGGAGAATGGATGTAAGGGAATTACTGCTTGTGCTCCTTAAAAGTGTTCTTGAAAAATTTTAAAGGATCCTATGCTGCTTGGAAAATTCTGGAAAGACATGGAAGTTGATTTGAGTATTTTGAGCGCCCATCCATCCGTTCTTACAAGTTTTGTATTTATTATTGCTCAATAAAATATTCTGTTAATTCGTTTAAAAAAAAAAAAAAAAGCAAAAAATAAAAATAACGTGTGTATTAACACTTTAAAATGTTTCAAAACAATAAGGAATTGTGGTAATTTGAGTCTGGAAAAGTATGAAATTTGGTCATGAAAATTTTAACCCTGAATAAGACAAAATAGGAAAAATATTTGGTTTGTAATCTGATATCGGAATTAAGTTTGGTTTTGTTACTAAACAAATAAGTCCTTGACGGGGGAAAAAAACAACAAAAAAACAAAAAACTAACAACCACAAATTTGATTAAGGCTTGTGTTTACTTCTTAAAATAGTATTGTTCAGCAATATCATCCTATAGAATGAGATGATAATGAACTACACTACTCATGGCTTTAACACCTCTAAACATTTGAGACGGGACATGACTGACAACACGCCTCCACTATCAGAGGATGTCGCGGGATCCTCGGCAGCTGATATCCCTTGGGCGTGGCCCTGTAGCACAGAAGTGGCGTCTGCTCTCCCGGAGCCTTGTGGTAGGTTCAGCCCGAGGCGCGGAGGAGGAGGGGGAAGGAGGAGGCGGAGGAGGTGCACGGAGCCTGTGACAGGTTGCCAGTCACACCGCTGACAGCTCTGTGAAAGATAGCTGTCTTGGCAGAGCGAGGTGGAGCGGCAGCCCGCCTGCATGCGCTAGTCAGCCCGCGTGAGGAGGCGAGCTGAGCTGAGCAGATTGAAGTGACGGAAGGAGAGAAGGGGTGGAGGGGCGCTCGGCGGAGTTGATTGGCGCAACACGCAGCTCTGGATGAAAGATTCAGGCTGAGTGTAAAAACACTAAATGCTGTCAGTGTTATTATCACCTGCTCTAACTGATGGAGGGGAAGAGGGGGAACGAGGGCTGGAAAGAGAGGGTGGCTAATTGACAGCTTTTTTTATTTAACTCCTGCTTTCTCTCCAATCGGTTGGAGGGAAAGAGGAGATGACATCAAAGCCTTGTCATTGAATGGCAGTGTTGATAGAGGAAACAGAAAGTGATAGTGAGAGAGAGATGTATGTCAAACTCTTGGGACGTTTTCTCCCATAATATTCACGTCTGTCTCTCAGCAGCTCTGTGTTTTAGGAGTTTGCTCTTGCCGCTTCCTTATTTGTGTTACACAGTAAATACAATAACTTCTGCATCTTGGTTGTGAGAAAGTGAGAATGTGTCTTGTATAATAAGCGAGAGGACAGTAGACTGGTTGTAACTGTTGCCCCTTCATGGTCAGTGTTGCACTGGATGAAGCTCAAGAGCCCACTGGTGTGGATTAAGCTTGTTTGTCTGTGACATGATGCTAAAACATTTATGGTCATCATTTCAGAGAGCAAAATGTGATTAGGCAAATTCTTAAAATATTTAATATCAGAGCCTGTCTGAGCATTTGCTACCTACATGACAGTGGGAACTGAAAAGGAGGGTAAAAGCCAGTAATTGCTCTTGCATTGTCATGCTATTTAGACTGTAAAGCTCAAGCTTTTGTTTTTCCTTTCGAGTGTGAGCAAAGAAGGCCTCTGATCTCTTGACAGCAAGAAGAAAAGTTGGGTTAATGATACTTTGTCAATGAGGCCCTTATGATTTAGAACTAAAGATGCACAAATTTGAGATTTTGTAGCAGATACCAGTTCCACTTTTTCTAAAATAACAGCTAAATACTGTTTTCTTTGTCCACGTATTTAAAATATACCAGTCTTTAACCATAACATTTTTATGCTAAAATAATACAATCATTTCTCCAAAACATGCCAAACGTTCAGAGCTTTTCCTCTTTGCCTCACTGCAAATACAATACAGTTGGAAGATCAACTCCAATGCCTCCATAGAAAATATAGTTTCCTTCCTAAGAGCTTCCTAAATCTCTTTGGTTCATTTTTGAACATCTTACAGATCAAAATAGTGGAGTCTTCTCACAGTAACAACTTCCACACTAAATGTAAATGTTGTCATTGTGACCTGGTGGCACTTAATTTGGGCATATACAACATAATCTCCTAAAAAAACAAGTTTTTTAGGGTCCATCTGGTTTCAACAAATTGGCCAATTCATGTCACTGGCAGCTGTTTTTTTTTTTTTTTTTTTTTTTTTTTTTTCTGTTCAAGTGCGTAAGTATAGAGAATTATTGGAAATTAGTTTTCTTTGCATTAAACAAAAGCATTATCTGTTTTCCAGTCGACATGATCCCCTCCTAATTCCTGGAAATGAACAAATTGAAAACATGGACATGAACGTCAAGAGGTACGACTCGACGGGAATGTTTCACTGGAGCCCTTCCAAAGAAATCGAGAAAGTCATCCTGGTAAGCATGCTCTCCTCAAAGCTTTGCAGCTGCAGTCCTGTAGTGTGTAGATTAAACAATTTTTGCTTGGGAGCAAACATTTCCGATCAATACTGCAGTAACAGAAAAGAAAAAATATTCTAACTTGTACTGAAATTTCTTTCACTGCCTCTCTGTTGTTTCAAGGTGAGTTTGTTTAATTTAATTTCCTGTGTACAAGTCCACTCTCAATCTTCTCACTCACATACACACAGAGGCTCACTGATACTTCATTGATGTTTAATTGAGTAATGCTAACCTTGTTTTGTTTTTCTTTCGTGTGACTTACACTTGAGTGAACCTGCTGGATTTCAAAGATTTACTTTGGTGTCGGATCAAAGTTTGCATGAACTGAAGTTGGTTCCTAAAAACTTTTATGAATGTAATGATTTTTTTGTTCTTTACAAGTTAAATCTATGATATTTATTCCACACTGATCAGGCATAACATTTGAACACCACAGCCACTTTGAGCCCCTTATTCATGTATTCTGAAATGTTTCGCTCTAACTTCAGTAATTTGAGCTGCTGGAGCTGGAGCTCATGCAAAATCAACCCTTTTGCCATTTCACTGCTGTTTCTACCTTGGGATGACAGTACAGACTGGGAACAACCCATAGAAAAGATGATCAGATTTAGCCATTAACAGGGTTGCTGAAAACTTTACTCTTGCCAATATTTCATAATTCTAACACGTCAGATTAAAATATTCAGTTGTGCGATATCCCCCACCTGCCAGCGTAGTGATGAGGTAATCATTGTTTTTTGCCTGTCATTGGTTATAATATCATCCCTGGTTGGTGTTAAACATATTCTGTGTTGTCTGCAAAGTTGTACTTTAGAAGCAAATGTAAGTTAAAATATGATTTAAAAAAAAAAAACACATGGAGTTTATGTGACAGGTGACAGACGTTAAAGCAGGATTTTATTATTTTTATTTAAGAATAAGGTATTATCTTTACAAGGTGTCAGCTTGATGTTGCATTTTTCAGCCTGATTGAATTATATCCTACAAAACAAACACAATTTCTTTTATTCTAAGACTACTCCCTTCTTAGTGGAACAGTTCCTAGCTAAACATTGTCTTGTGTTGATGCTAAACTTTGGTGATGAAGGCAGATTTCTAGATTTGGATTCAGACCTTATTTTGCAAGTGAGAGTAACATTCATGCACAACTGCACTGTCTCATTCTTTCTTCTCTGGAACACTCTTTTCCCCCCTGTTCCTTTCTGTGCTCCTCTCCCCTTATCTACCCATGCCCTTCTGTTTCCCTGCAGACTCGAAGCGAAGCCTCCATGACTGTGCTGAGCGGCCATGTAGTGGTCTGTATATTTGGGGATGTCACGTCCGCTTTGGTGGGGCTGCGAAACCTGGTGATGCCTTTAAGAGCCAGCAATTTTCACTACCATGAACTAAAGCCTATAGTTTTTGTGGGCTCGCTGGATTACCTTCGGAGAGAGTGGGAGACTTTACACAACTTCCCCAAGGTCTCCATCTTACCTGTAAGTGCTCAGTTTGAATATTTCCCAGTTAGACACATATTGAAATCTTGAAGGGGCCGCTGTCATTTTGATTCCATCACACACGTCGCTCGATTGAAAGATCACTCCATGAGAGCTCAGTAAACCTCCTTCATCTTGAGGAGAGACACATCCTGCATATCCAAAGTGGAGTTTATGAATGCTGTAGCTGCAGTGCCCATCACAGATGGCATGGCTTGGTGCCTTGGAGCTTGTTAGGCCTGGCTTGACTGATGATCAGAGCAGAATCCCAAACACAGCCCTCAGCGCAGGCTAGCCTTTATATTAGTCCATGTCTATGAATCTCTAATGCCTGGTTAGATCAGTGGAATGTCATTGCCTCAAAACAAAAAATACTTGTTAACTAATTTCCCAAAGCTCCACTCTGCTCACTTCTTAAATTTGTTTTTCTCTCCCCCATGTCTTTCTGTTCCGTTTTTTTTCTCTCCCTTGCTCTCCCTCTTGCTGTCTCGCTCTTTTTCTCTGTGTTCTCCTCACCCTGAAGGGTACACCATTAAGTCGGGCAGATTTAAGGGCTGTCAACATCAACCTCTGTGACATGTGCGTAATACTGTCAGCCAATCAGAACAATATCGAAGATGCCTCTCTGCAGGATAAGGAATGCATCTTGGCATCACTCAACATCAAGTCTATGCAGTTTGATGACAGCATTGGGGTCTTACAGGCTAATTCCCAAGGTAAGGAGCGTCCTATTAGACTCCATGTACACTGCTGCCCAAAGGGGACAGGTTGTGGCAAGGAGGGAAGACGGTAGTCAAGAATGGAAAAAAGGAGAGGAAAAGACAGGGAGGGGATGAAGCAGCCTCACTGGAAGGAATAGAGAGTGCTAAATGTTCTTAATCAAAATTCTCTGCAAGTCTGCTGTATTATCCATAGGCTGACATGAGTGACGCTCGAGAGGACGTGCACACTGGAAATCTTGTGTTGACTGCTATGTCAATTCTTTAAAGTTTGTGTTGTGCAATTTTCTGACAATTTGAGTGTTGTCTCTGGTAATTAAATGCTCCTAAACCTCTCTGATAATACTTTTTAATGATGTAATCAACATGACTGTGCCGTTTGATGTCGTTCCCCCCTGATACAGAGTCTGGCAGATCGTCTGGAACAGATTGTTGATGTTTGCAGACAAACATATGAACCTGGCATCCCATCAGGCCTCATCATCATTAAGCAGCTAGTACAAATCACCAGGCAGGCCAAATCAGCTGCTCCTCATTAGTCACGACAAAACAGCGACACATGCGGGCACACGCTTTCCACATTTGTGTGGGTGTGTTTGCACCAGTTTAGACACACGCGGATTCATGCCAAGGCAATCTGTGCAGACACACTCACCCACAGGTAAACCTCGGTTTATGTTTACCTTGAAAGCCGTACCTTGATCTCAGTGCAGCGAGCATCACCACAGCAGAGATGCTGACTCAAGTCTCATAGAATATTTTTTGCTACTCTTTCTTTGGTTTGAACGCCGTGGAAACATTTTCATATTTTATCACACGACAACAACAAACTTCACTATATTTTCTTAGGATTTTTTGCAGTTAGACTAACACCAAATAATACATAATTGTATTCAACTTCCTTTATTCTTTTGTAACTACATAAAATCTAAATACAATCTTCTTTTAGAAATCCCATAATTAGTAACTATGCTTTGTTTCCTGTGTGTTGCTTGAACATAAAACCAGTTGTTGCAAAACATCAGAGAAGACACAGAATAACCAAGACAAAGGAACACTGCAGACATATCATGGAGTTGCAATCCATAGTTAGTAAAAAGAAATATATATATATATATTTGCATACCTGCAAACCTAACAAAACATGGACATCTACATGAAACTCACAGGTCTGGAAAGAGGAGCATGATTCATGGCACATTATTCAGGATGATCTGCAGAGATCCACAGGAAGAATCTGTTGACTGAACAATCATTAGTTACACACTCCAATAATCTAGTCTCTATACAGGAGTGGCAAGAATTGAAGTGGAGTCCAATTAGAAGTTCACAACAAGCCATGAAGAAGATATCACAAACATGCAAAAGAATGTGCTCTGGTTAGATGAAACTAAAATTGAACCTTTCGGAGTTCAGACAAATCGTTATATGTGGGAGAAAAGCAACACTGCAGAACACCCTGAACATATGATGGCCATCATGAAACACATTGTTGACGGCATCATCCTGTTGCAATGTTTTAATTCTTTTAGTCAGAGAAGATGGTGGAACTAAATTGAGAGCATCCCAAGATAAAAACCTGTTAAGTGCTGCCGAATACCAAAAACTCTTGCAGGAAACTCTACAATAAAAACTTAACAGAAAAACTGGCAACAATGCAATGCTATAAACCTTAACGAAGAAGGGTTATTTCAGTTATTAGAGACTTGAAAACAATATGTCTGTTTACTTATTTATTTATTTCAAAGAGAACCCCTGGAGATGTACCATCATATTTTCTAAGAAGGTCCTTACAAAACATATAATCGACGATAATACAAATCTTAATTATAAAAATGATTTGTGTACATTGCTGCACTGCAGTGATTATTATACAAACCAGAATTGTCTTTTTGTAAGGAACATTTCCACATGTTTAACTTTTATGCCAGTGGTGCTATTTTTCCCAGCCGTGAGTGAGTGATTAGCTTTCAGTGGCAGAGCCACCAAGGAACAATAAGCAGGCGGCGAAACCTCGGAGCTCGTTGCTCTGGGGAGCGCTACTCACAGAGAGCCACCTCCATGCAAAAGCTCATTGGACTCGGTCCCTCTCTCCCCAGATCGATGCGCGGAGCCGAGTGTTATCAATAATTGTGTCTTACACGAATTACCCATTTAAGAAAACACACATTCACAGTGACATGCAGTGATGCATACGCAAAGTACAGAAAATGCACTAACATACCCAAATGCCGCAATTGTTCGGGGATTCCTTCCTTCTGGCGTCGCTCCCGTTCAGACGCTATCTGTGGAATTTGGAAGGTGCAAATGAATAAGTAAACACGTGCTTTCCTAGGGGAGAGCTTCTCACGGCTGCTTGTAGAATGTAGTCAACCACAGAGCATAGCTGTGCCCGCGGGGCTACAAGGATACGGGGGTATGTAACCCAGATCTCGCTTGTCTATTGTACACTGTAGCTCAAAAGGCACTATTTTACAGCCTCTCACTGCGAACAACAATGTAATGGAGAGGATTTTGTGTAATGAAACTGCTTTTAAAACTTTCTGGTGGTGTATTTTGCTGGATTAATTTAATAAAAGAACATAAAATACATAAAGTCCTAGAAAAACAAACATAATTCAATTGAAATCTAGAGACCTTTGACTTGATTTATATACTGGGGATGCAATATTTTTTAGGTTAATATGCTAATGCTTCATGTTGAGATTAAATTCTCTCAGGTAATTTAGCCGAACCGTAGGTTGATCCGACAAGATAACATATTTAACTCTCAACAAAGACATCCAGCTCTCTGGAGCCTTTCAGCTCATACTGAGTTGCAGCTTTAGGCTGTAACCCTAACATGTTTTTTGAAAGAAGCACAGCAGTAGGCCTCGTGTTTCCCACCAGCATCGCTTTCTGGCGCATGAGCTACAACTGAACAGAGGCTGTTTTCCTACATCTTTGCGCTGTCTTCATGTTCGCTGTGGAAAACTGTTAGAGCAGCATTTAAGAGGCAAAATGCAAAAAAAGAAAAAAAAAAAAATCCCCCAAAACTCTGTATCACACTCCTATGGACTTCAACAGTGTGATGTTGGAGCTGATGCTCTCTGGCTGACTCGCATTGTCAGACCTTGTTTAATAATTGGTTTAACAAAAGTTGGGATCAACCAGGCTTCGGTTCAGTGTGTGCTTTCTACTCCGTCCTAAACTGCTCGGTGTCTTTTCGTTGCAAAGGCCTGAAAGCTCTCTTTTGTAATGTGAGCAGCGTATTGAGACTTTTGACAAGAAAAGAACACACACGCGCACACACGCATACTCACGCACACTGAATTTGCAATGCTTTTAAAACTTTGTGACCTGAATATATTCCTTGCCTTATGTTTCCATGGCCTTGGCACTATAAGCTGACATTTTGCTGTAGTCAGCACTAAATGATGGATGTCAAAACACAGGTGATGCATTATGCATATAGCATTACAGATTTAGGGTGTTTACTTGTCACTTTGAGAAAATGCAAAAATGTGAAGTCATGTGAATTCGTACTGCTGTCACTTGCACTTGTATTTCATGGTTCTGTGCCGCACCATAAAAGGTTTTCAGGATACACTTCACCAATTTTATCGTAACAAAATGAACAACATATAAAATTTATGTCTGCCCATAGATGGAGGGATCTGAATGCTAAAGTTGTCTTTGCTGACCCCTAAAAGCACAGTAACTATCAGTTTTTAAGCAGGCACCTTGTTCACTTTGCTCTTTTTCTTTTATTCTTCCTCCTAATCCACACTCTCAAATTGTGCAAAAAGGGGACATAAAACAACTAAATGCTAGGTGAGCTGATGTGAGCAAAATATATAAATACAGAGACCTTGGTGACATGCTCATTCTTATGACTCTTTTGAAGTAAAATACATTTAAAGTTGGAGTAGATTTTTGTGCCTTTTTCCCCTTAATCTTGACTGTAATTTAACAAAGAGGCACTACTCTGCAGGGCAAAGAAGTACATAGAAACATCTTGATATATTTTTCAACTTTTTAAAATTTATGGTATACATGTGAATAATAAGTAGTTAATTTGAAAAGTTTTACACAATCCACAGTTATCTTTTATCCACTTGTATCCATCTGCCACAAAACCTACATAGATAAACCCAACTAGTTTGTAAAGCCTCCCTAATGTTGTAAAAAAAAACAATAATAATACACAGATACACCCTTTACATTTGCCACCGTTTCTAGCCTGGAAAAAAAAAAAGTTTGCTAAAAGCTAAATAAGTTTTTGATTGTTCTTTGTAACAATGTATTTCTGTCTGCAGGTTTCACGCCTCCTGGAATGGACAGGTCATCTCCAGACAGCAGTCCAGTACATGGCTTTGTGCGTCAGGCTTCGGTAACCACCGGATCCAACATCCCCATCATCACAGAGCTAGGTAAACCAGTTTCCACCCACCTCCAACACAGATATCGCATGCCATACCTTGTAACCTCAAATCAGCTCATAATTCATCCCCAGACATTGACAAACAGAGCTGATAGTTCAAAAACCTCATCCTGCTATCAAAAGTTCCAACTCATTCAGTGTCAGATTGACTGAGGAATGCGTCGTTTGGAATTTTTGCTTCCCTTCAAGTCTGCCTAAAGGTTTTTTTTTTTGTTTTTTTTCCCCTACATTTACTCGATGTGGATAGTTGCTTTCAAACGACAAGTTGATTTGAAGATGTCAGGCCGGCACTTTCAGGACAAAAGCTCCATCTCCTGCAATTTGTTCACTAATGGACAAGAGAAACTCAGCCAGATGGAGAGGGAGAAGGAGGGAGAAAAGGTAGAAGGACAAAAAGTGCCTGGGTTGCAAAATATGTCCATTTATTAATAACAATGCCACTGGTTGTATTCCCACTGGTGAGGGGGACTCATGAAACTTTCAGATCTCTAAGGGGCCTTCTCAAACACCAGAGACCAGCTACTTTGTCTCCCCTGACCCAATTAGGGAGCAATAGAGCGTGAGGCCAACTAAGAAAAGGCCAGACAGAGAAAGCTGCTACCTAATGCAACCCGGCCATTACCCGAATGGAGGTTCTCCCATTACACTTTCTGACCACAAAGATTATTGTCCAAGTCAGGTTGGAGTCACTCACTTAAATGGTAGCAAGTACTGGCGTTGCACCGCCGCTGCATTCTTTCTCACAAGAATCAAATCTAGATGTGATAACATTGTTCCACAGTTGAGGAACGAGCAAGAGGGGAGAGAGCCTGCATGTCACACTGGAACCATGTGCTATAATTACACTGTCATATCTTCAGGGTACAGTGCCAGGAGCAGATTAAAGCTGAAACATAAAAACACTCCCTATCAAAGGTGCATGATCAATTTTCCTTGCATGGTGTGTGAAGAAGGTTTGTTGGTGGATAAGACCTTGTTTATCCCCTGTTCTGTGCTACCGTGGTAAAACTGATTGCGGTTTTAAATGGTTAGTGCTGTGACACCTATGGCTTTGTATGCACTTTAATCCAGAGACACTGGAGAACCATGAGCGTAATTCTGGAGTCGACACAACAATACTTTGACTTTTTTTTTTTTTAGAAAAAGCCTTTGAAAGTGTTTCAATAACAACGGCATCTCTCCCACCTCTCTGCACTGTCTCATCACCATTAGCTAAACCTGGCAAACTACTGCCATTGGTTTCTCTCAGTCAGGAAAAAAAAAGTGGAACCAGCATACAAATGATAACAGAGCTGGGTAAGCTGAGCCTTTGTCCTCTGCTGCCGTCAGATCCCTTGCTCCACTGCTTGGCCTCCTCATCAGCTTGTCTTGATTTATCTGGCTGCATTCAAGGCCCTCTTTGCTCCCATGGCTTCACTTTAAAAACATTTTTATTCTTTTTTCTTGTTTTAAATTTATGGCCTTTTTAAAAAAAAAAAAAAAAAAAAAGATTTTGCCCTCCTTTTTTGTGTTTCCAATGCATCGCTAGGCCTTTGATCACGTGCGGTCTGTCTTTGTGTATGTTTTCATAGCAACATGCTGCCCTCCACCTCCACTCCACTTCCCGTTCCTCTTCCAAACACTCTTGCACGCTGGGCTGCCCCGCTACCGGTCACCCCTTCGACCAAGACCCAGTTGATTCATTGTCACTTTGATTAACATTTTAGCTCTACATCTTACAGAGAACAACTAGGGATACACAACAAATCGGGGTTTGACCGATTGTATTCACTTTTTAAGACATTGGTGAAGTACAAACTAGCACAAGTAAAACTGGGCCGATATCAATACCTGGTATCTGTTTCCATCTTGCTGTCATTTGCGTATGTTCATTTGGTGGGAAGGGGAAGGGGCTCGTTGGCCATGAGGTGTTTTCATTGGCATGTAATAGTGATAGTGATGCAGGGGAGGACTGTGAGCTGGTTAACCGGAGACGAGAAGGGATGTCAGTGTTGTTGTTGTTTTTTTAAAGGTGTTGCAAGGATCAGAAATATATCTAATATATATGCACCATAGCAACAATACTAATATTGGATATTGATATTGGCCCAAATTTTACGATAAAACAAAGTGGACCAACATATTTTTGGCTTTCATTAGAAAAAAGCTAAAATTGTCAAGATATGTGTGTATTGAATGTATATGTTTTGATTTAAAGTACTACATCACTTAAATAACTAATCAACTGTTAGTTTAAATTCTCATTTATTGTGCTGACACTTCAGCCTGAAATCCAAAACGCACAGTGATGTGATTCACGCTGAACCATTTCACTTAGCAGACCACATCTACACCTGATGTCAGTGTGATAAAACTGTGTTGTTACCTGACGCACCATTTGAATTTCAGGGAACAGGTAAACATGTAAGTTTCTCCAGCAATGATGATGTGACAAACACATGCATCAAGGAAAACTCTGAAAGTCAAAGCATGATTTGATAAGTGCACGATGTCCAAATGTGACGTAATAGCCATTGTTGAAGCTGCAGTAATAAGTTTTCTTCAGCAAAGAAATTTCACCGGCAACATCCTGCTAAATTTGATCACTCTTGATGAAATGAAATGCAGAGAGCAACGATGCTTAAGATATATTGCACGAGTGGTGTTGTGAAGAACAACAAAATGCAACGCATTAAAACTGACTGGGTCCTTCTGCAATGGTTACTACTGTGTATGAAGAAAATGATGTACAGGAAATACTTCTGAAGCTGTGTGTGAGAATGTCCTGCATGTTATGTGAAGGAAACATTCCTTCATATTCAAGCACTAAGCTACCATTAGGTGTACAGCTCCATGTACATTTACTGAAACCACTGATAGAGATTTGCTAAATGCTTTCAAAGAAATTCATGTTTTTGTTGCGGCAGCATGATCTTACAGTAAAAAAAGTAAGCTAAAGAAAGTTAGTCATGTATAAACCATTAATCACCATGTGATCTCTTGTTCTCCTGGGGTATAAATATGATCTGACACGGTGACATATTTCTACTACTAAACTAATACTTCTAAAGTAAGAGTGATGTGTGTTTTTCTTCATAAGACAGGAAATGAAAATGCAACAAAAATAGTTTAATTTTGCCTATTTGTACAGTGTATCTAAAGGGAATTTGAGTTCATAATGGGATTTGATTTAAGTCTTTATACTGATAAGTAAGGAGGAGAAAAGAGAGAAAGAAAAAACAGAACATTTGGAACCTTTTCTATTTCACGTTGTCTAAAAGTTGCATCCACCCATCAATCCATCCCAAATTTGTAGCCTGAAATAAATCAATTAATTAGCAGCTTTTTTTTTTTTTATGTGAGATTATGCTACTGCCAAAAAAGACAAGATGCTTTTCACCTTGTCTTTGTTCATTTAGTTTTGATCATTTTGATGTTTTTTTTTTTCTACGGTTTTTAATTCAGGGCACAGTGTTTAGGCCATTGAAAAGCATCACTTTTGTACAAATTAACGCAATTTTTAACACACCTGAGTCTTTTCCTTTGACATTACTGCCCAACACCCAAAAGCAAGATAAACTAAAGTTATACATTTCTCTCAGATATGCTGGTGTGTGTGGCCTTCACTTTGACCTTATCTAACTCAGCTTTTCTTCCCGTCTCCCAGTGAATGACTCGAACGTTCAGTTCCTGGACCAAGACGATGACGACGACCCGGACACGGAGCTGTACCTCACTCAGCCCTTCGCCTGCGGCACCGCCTTCGCTGTCAGTGTACTCGACTCCCTGATGAGTGCGGTGAGCTTTTCAACGTGCTGCAAAATTGCTGTGATTTAACATTTCACTGCATAGTTTATGTTGGAGCTTGTACTATTTTGTGAGAGCCCTTACAAAGTGACACACATGTTAAAAAAAAGTCATTACAGGTAGTAATATTAGACACTTCCAGTGCATCTGAAAGGTATTATAGCGCTTTGCTTTTTCCACATTTTGTTGCATTACACTCGTATTCCCAGCTGTATTAGATTAATCTATTTCCACTGAGTTTTTTTTGGAAATGTATTAAAAAATTTTTAAAAAGTGAAACAATCACATTTACATAAGTACTCGTAGCCTTAGCTTAATATCTTGATGAAGCTCAATCGAGCTGTTTTCACCTGTCATCCTTGAGATGTTTCTACAGCCTAACTGGAGTCTACCAGTCATAAATTCAGTTGACAGGACTCGATATATAAAGGTACACTCCTGTTTGTATTAGGTCCACACTTGACAGTGCAGGTCAGAGGTCAAACACCAAACATGAAATCAAACAAATTGTCTCTAGACCTCAGAGACAGGAGGTTTTGTCTTGAGGCACAAATCTGGGGAAGGATAATGAATGGACGGTTGCATGAACAGATGTGAAAATGGGTGCAAAGATATCTCTCATCCAACCTGAAAGGAGCTTGAGAAGAACTGTATAAGAATGGAAGAAGCTGCCTGAAGTTAGGTTTGCTAGGCATCACTTTCAAAAGGACAAGAAAATATAATTGCTGCCAAAGGTGGATCAACGACGTAGAAAGCAAAGGCAGTGAAAACTTGTGTTTTTGTTGTTTTTTTTTTATTTTTATTTTTTTAATAAGTTGGCAAAACCCTAAAAAACCCACATTGTGTTAGTGAGTTATATATGTCTATAATGTTGTGGAAAGAGATTAATACAATTTGGATTAAAGATGCAATGTTATGTAGCATTTAAGAGTTTTGGTAATTGTTAAGCACATTGGCCACATCCACCTGCCAGTTCTAGTGATGTCTAAAACAACATTTTTTTTACATGACTATCATAAATTACATTTTCAAGAATCTCATTAGATCTTTAAACCCTAAATGAATGTTGGAGGATTACCGCAACAGTGATGACACAAGCTTGGCTATAACAGACCAAATGAACCCTCTTCTATCTTTTGACAACAGCAACGCTTCAGTGGAGATAAAATTACGAAGGAGATGGAGGAAAGTCTTCTGTAAATCCTCTTCCCCCACCATCTCACGACCAACCATAATTCTCTCCCTCGCCATTTGCTGGTGTGATGACTTAATTCCTGCAGTCGTCCAGTTGAATAAGAGGTTAGGGGGCCGAGAGGTGCTGAGCTGCGCAGGGAGTAAAACAGGCGTCAGCTGTAGTCTAGAAGTGGTCAGAGGTGAAGCCGGCTAATGGACACTGCTCATCCATCATGAAGCTATGCAGGCCTGTCAGGGGCCCAGAGAGAGGCGCTGCCACTCTGGCCTCGCTGTCGAGTGACATCGACTGTCTTAGCGCGAGGAAAAAGCCGGGCCTGAACAGCTTGAAGGACAAGTGAACCAGACACCTATAGAGGCCAGTCTAACTGGTGTCCCAGAAGAAAAAGGAGATATTGTTCAGTGTGTAGAACAGCATTCACACTAGAGTAGTGACAGTTTAAGTACTTTTGCTTTTTTTTGTGTGCAAAATGCCCACGGACACCATCAAATCAGATAAATATTTGTATTTAGGTAAAAAAAAATAAAAATAATACAAAAAAATACATAAAAGTTCTTTTTAAAAAGTGTTTTGGTTTATCAAGGCTGCTGTATGTGATCCAGAATTAATAATTGATTAACACACATTGTCCATCAGTGGAAGGTTTTATGTCTTTTCGTTAAAGGTAAGACCTTCTTAACCAGCTAACCTTGAGCTGAAAACAGCTTCAGGGAGCTACGCAGAAGATCTAAGAGGTTTGAAGCTAACGAACGGGCAAGGACGTTCAGAAATATACTCAGGTTAATCCATGCTAGGTTATACAAAACTAAATATCAGCTCTATAATTTATCGCCGGTAAGTGGAAAATTCTTGTCCACTTTCTGAAGTATATAATGTTCTAAAAAGTAAACTCAAACTTTTCTATCTGACTGACTTATGAATTAAATAGCGTCTCCGCTGGCCCAATAGGGCCTTTAGTAAGATCGGTTCTGGGAACCCACTTTCAGTTAAGACCAAGATCCACTAATATATCTGTTAAATTGTTCTTTGATTATTTGCATGTTGCACAAACTCTAAAGCTGGGCTTGTTTCCTTGTTTTACTCACTGGGTTTGGCATTTGTTTCTGTTACACAATGTTCCAGTACTGACGCTGACAATAAGGGCAATCACCAAAAATAATCAATTATTTATTTTGTAACGTGTAACATCATAGAAACAAGCAACACTAAAGATCTGGCAGCATTAAATTATCACTATTAGCTTTAAATATTTGCTTGTATTCATTTCCAAGTAGTACATTTATCAGTTATTCCAAATTTAAAATATACTAAAAGTTTACATAATTCCTTAACTTTAGATATTAAAGTTTATGGTCTTTTCAGTCCATTTTATATAGTCAGAAAATATTTTACGTGGTAAAAAAAAACAAAAATATGTACAAACAGAGGTTGGACAGCACTGTATGTCTCAAAGTTGCCCAAAATTTCAAACTTCAATGGGCATTCATGTTGTACTTTGGACTGGGAACCAGGAAAACTGGGCTTTTAAATGGAGCATATGAATCGGATATAATATTTAAGACCCAAAATTGATTTGGGGGCTACAAAGAGTGGCCTAAAAAATAAAGGGAAGGTTTTTAATTTTTTTTTTCACTATTTCTCAGTTATTAAACTTAACACAAGGGAATGTTTTTAAGTTTTCATCAGCTCATTTTTCTTTTTCATTTCTTTGCAAGGAGACATGGTAAAGGTCAGCATAACTGGCTGTCTGTTTATTCCCTTCTCATCTGACACCTCTCTCTAGTGGTGACTGGGGGAGTTTTTTTTTTTTTTTTTTTTTTCCTTTTTAACAGAAAACCCATCTGTGTTCTGTCCAGACATACTTCAACGATAACATCCTCACACTAATCCGGACACTAGTCACGGGAGGAGCCACGCCAGAGCTGGAGGGCCTGCTGGCTGAGGAGAACGCTCTCAGAGGAGGCTACAGCACGCCACAGACGCTGGCCAACAGAGACAGGTGTCGCGTCGCCCAGCTGGCCCTGTATGATGGCCCGTTTGCTGACTTAGGGGTAAGCAAATGCTTTGAGTGGAAATGACAACGTTTTGGCATTACCCAACAGCACGCATCTGGTCGCCTCTGCTTGTCGCAGTCCTTAATCCTATGCGAGCAACAGTAATCACGAAAAGCAGGCCTCGGTGGGCAGAGAACACTTTGATAGAGGACAAAGAGTGCTGCAAAGGAAACACCAAGTTGAATTGGTTCCAACCTGCTTTTACAAGGTTTTATTGTTATTCAGAGCTTCTAGTTCTGCAGATATATAAATATATATATATTTTTTCTCTAGAATAAATTATGGTTTGGTGCACAAACATTGTTGATTGCTGCAGTCTCTAGTGCTAAAAGTTGGCATTCACTTGGAATTAAAAACCAAGTAAAGAGCTGATTAATATTACTGACAATGAAGGAGTTCATTAGCTGACATACTTTTCTTTTGTTGTTCACCAACAGGACGGTGGCTGCTACGGCGACTTGTTCTGTAAAGCCCTGAAAACGTACAACATGCTGTGTTTTGGGATCTACAGATTAAGAGATGCTCATCTCGGCACACCAAGCCAGTGCACAAAACGGTACCGTGCCAGAGCTTTCTCTTCACCAGAGTCCATCGTCACTGGGAATAAAATGAGTCGCGCATCAACCTTTCCGATGTTTCTTGTTTTGGCCAGATATGTGATCACAAACCCACCGTACGAGTTTGAGCTGGTGCCCACCGACCTGATCTTCTGCCTCATGCAGTTTGACCACAACGCTGGCCAGTCGCGGACAAGCTTATCCCACTCTTCCCACTCCTCCCATTCCTCCAGCAAAAAGAGTTCCTCTGTGCACTCGGTGCCTCCCTCCAACCGGCAGAACCGCAGCAGTAAGAGCAGAGAGGCGAGGGAAAAACAGAAGTAGGTGCCACTTGTGTGTGCCGTGTGCTGTTGATCTGCATGTTAAGTGTTTTACACGTGACCTGTGTGTTTTAGCCGTGTGTATTTGTGTGCAGGCTGTGATGACAGATGCAGTGTAATGTGTGGTTTGTGCTGTTTTTATTTTTCTTCACAATCATCTGCATGCAGTTTTCACTCTCGCATCACAGCGATCATAACAGGACAAAAAAAAAGAAAAAAAAACATAAAATCAATAAAACTGCTAGAAAAACGGTTCACACTTGTTTCTTATTGATTCTTGGCTTAGCATATAATTTAACTTCTTGCTTGGATGACACTGATTGTTGTTGGAAACAAGCTTATAGTAAAAATGTCATCATAACAAACATTTAGTATGTTGTTGGGTCTACCTGTTCTGTGTAGCTGTTTCATGTCTAACTTGGTGTATTTGTGCTGTTTGTAGTTGTTGTTTAGTGGTTATTTGTTCACATGATCAGTGCCTAGATCATGGTTGTAGTGTTTCGTGATGTGTAGTGGAATATACTGAGAATAAAGGAAATCTGCCTTTTAGATATACTACTATTCATAAGATCATTCACCATTAGCAGTGTTGATATTTTCCCAATCATGGTGCATCTGTTGTGCTTTTTTGCATGTCCGTGTTTAACAAGGTTTTTATTTCCTATTCTTTTTATAAGTCGGTTCTAAAATTATTTCAAGTTTAGTATAGGATTCTTACTTCTGTTGCAGCACCCTCCACATTTATTAGTATCCCTGGCAAAACAAAGTGTAATAACTCTTTAACAATATATGTATATATTTCATTGAAGTAGGATAATCTTACACTAAAAAAAAAGTTTGGCTAAGTTTTCATATCTGGAAAACAAGAGATACTTGTTTTCAGTACTTTTCCAAAATTATCTGGACCTAACCAGTTAGGTCCAGATGTAAATTGCAAATTAATCAGATTATACATTTGCTTAAAGCATCAAGATTATTTATTAGTAGTGCTTTACTTCCTTAGTTTCCCTGGAGCATAAACACAAAGTGACCCAAAAACATGCGTCTCAAAAATGGAAAGACTAGAAAACACCTGATTCAAGTAAAGCACAGGTGTGTTGATCTTATAAAATGGTGAGTATCGAAACCTTCCCTTATCTGTAGCTGCTTTTTTAAAATTTAAACTAGATGTTTACATACACTGCATTAAATCACACATAACCATGTTTTAAACAAAGCACTAATTTTGAATGAAATGTTTATATGTTTATATATTCGGTCAGTAGAATTATTTTAATTTGCTAAATGCTGAAAAAATTTAAGAACATTTTCTCAGATTTCTTTTTCACTTCACATTTAGAAGTTTACATTCATTTTGTGCAGTTATCTTTTAGACTGTATGGTTTGTGTTAAATAGTTTTTTGAACGTTTGTAGGATGTCTTGCTCGCATATGTCTTTCCAGCTGTGACTGCAAAAAATTCGCCATGGGACTGAACTAAAGGCTGCTCAACAGCATTGCCGAGTGCTCCCACATTGTTCAGTCTGGACTGCTGAACTTTGGCATCAGTGCATAACGCCACTGAAGACAAAAATAGCAACAGAAAAGTCTACAGCTCCAATTTGAGTTAATACAGTAGTAATGTGTGGATAAGATTTATCCAGTGGAGAGGACAAAGTCAAGAAAAATTATCTGAGGACAGAAACTTGGAGATTCAACAAACTGGCAACGTCTGGAAACATTGAAAAGTATTTCATCTTGAGCCTAATGTGCCATGTAATCTACCTCAGTGGGGAGCAGCAGCTCAAAAACCTAAATTTAAAACATAAAATATCTGACAACACTGAAATTAGACATCGCAACTTCTGATCCGAGTTGCAGTGTCTTGGATCAGACAGAATCTCACGCAGATTGAGATTCTGTCCCCTCACTGAATAAAATGTTCAGTGTTAAATGTTGGATTCTTCTTAAAAAATGTTGTGAGTCTATTCTACTGGGAGAAATTATTAATTTATTAAAAGCCATAAGTCAGGCGGTGCAGATAACTGTGAAGGGTGCTGTATTCATTTTCCGCTCTTTCTCCCCTAAAGTATTATGATTGAGATATGAAATTGAACTTTTAAACCTTGACACAAGATACTAAAAGCATGCAGATTTGTTTTGGTTACACTCAGAATTTACCAAAGTGAAGACAAGATGCTCTCAATACATCTTGAAATTAAGATGTATTAAACCGCCCAAATGCAGAAGTAACAACATGCAAGCTTTAAATAGAGTGGTTAGTCATTTTGTCCGTTGTGTATTGACTGTAAATATTACCTACTTACAGTAGATTACTTACCTCTTTTTCTGAAGTGCAACAAGGATGAATAGAATGGGCCAAGGTATGCAAGTTAACGATTCTGCATGACTTAGCAACTTTTACCTGGGGTTCTGCTTCATAACTATGTCCCCTGCGGATATTGTTATGACGAGGGGAGTTTGTTTTCTTCATTTTTCTTCTCCAGATGTTGAGCAAACCATGCCTCAGTTTAAGCTTTGCTTTCATGTAGAAAGCAAAATGTCTGCTGCTGCTCCTGCCTCCTACCTGCCATGACCAGGCCCATCTCCACATTGCATGAGGCTGAGACGTTACCCTCCCCACTTTTTTTGTGCATTTTCCTTAGTTGATGATCTAAGTATTCTTTTTCTCTGAAATGCATTCTTTTTAACATTATTTTTCATGCCCCCTTTTATGATTTGTTTGAACTTGGGATGATTTGCATTGTGTGAGAGGTCTGTGTGTCTGTGCATCTTCCCTCTTGTTTGAATGCTGTCAGACGACTCGTAGCAGGCTTTAAGATGTCACACATATGTTCCCATGCAGTGTTGTAAGATACTGTTTTTTATTTCTTTTTCTAGCAACTGTTTAATTAAAGCACAGAGTGGCAACAAGTTTTTCAGCTGCGCAAACTTGCATGTTAACTCACATGTAGGTCAGAGTCATTTATATCTCCCTCTCCCCGATGTAGTGGATTTACTTACCGTTTCACAGAATTTAAAAGAAAGTGTGTCCAGCCCTGTGCCATCGGTCACACTGAGAAAGTGGGAGGTGTGACCAATTTAAAGTTTATATTAAAGAGGGGGATATGAGTCTGTAACTTCCCTCCTTGTAACCCTGTTCACCTGATATGCTGGTTAGAGGCGACATCACTAAGTTACCGTGTCAACAGGGGACCGCGGAGAGAGATGGCAGACATCTTGCTTCACCTCGGGCACAATTCTGCACATCAAATGTCTGTGCTCTAACACACAGCCCTGCAGCCTTAAACTTGCTGATGCACACGCAGACACACACAACCTCACAAATGAATCTTCACACATGCAAGCCAACACACACACAGACACACATTTCCCCACCCAGCAAAGTTAAAAATTTGTTGTTGCAACTTAAACCTGAAAAGGATATGTGAGGAGTGGAAAGGGGTTTACGAACTTCTGACAACTGGAAATACACTCCTCACTCATCTCAGAAATGTACTTGTGTTCTTCTAAACATGGAAAATGTGTTTCTAAAACAATACATATTTTTGTTAAATCTGTGAACTCCAAATTAGTTTTAGATTAAAGAGTTGCGATTATGATAAGCTTAAGTTGGTCAGTGTTTCTGGGAATAGTGTTGCTTCCCTGAGAAGCAACACTATTCCAAACTATATTTTGCTTCAACAGTTTCCTTTCCTACTAGCTTTTCTCAATTGAATTCTTTTGTATTAACTAACCACAGTGTCGGTATAATATTACTTTTTGCTTCCAGCTAGTTGTATGCAAAAGACAATACAAGGTAAAATTCTTCCTGACCATGCCCAATTTATAAACAGCATGAAATGGAGATATCTCTAATGACTTTAAGTCTCTCTGCTTAGTGGCAAACACTTTTAGTATATTCTAATGGCATGGTCAGCATTAAAACTTTTGTATCCAGTTGTCTGACTAATATCAATATTTACAATCACAGTCCTCATGATATTATTAATGTGTGCATTATCTTCATTCTTGGGTGTAATATTTTGTAGGCTTTGATATTCAGTTGATAATAGTTGGATGGACTTTTATTGCTGCTTACGATATCTTAAGTCGATCTTGGTGACCAATATGTTAAAGCTCACAGACATGCCAGGACTATGTGACAAACATTAACAACTGAGGAAAATCTGCAACAACTATATTTACCACAATATTCTACAACAATACATACATTTCTGTAATGGTACAACCTGAACTTCTTGAAGCAAGAGGTTTGCTACATCAATTAAAAAACATTATTCTTAGTTCTATATTTTGGTGGAAACCAAAATCTCTTAAATATAGATGTCTTAAAGCCTGTACACATAACCAAATGTTTCACTCTGTAGCACTGAAGCAACTATCACTGCCTTTTATCCAACTGAAATGGATATTTCCACATGTGCTTTCAAAGATGTATTGAAAATGTATGCCACTGTGTGAACTTCAAATTGGCTTCCAATTGTTTTATATACCTTACACTTTGAGATTAACCGCAAAACAGTGCCATGCCAATACTGATCTCACTTAAACTGAGGCATTTTGGTTGTAAGTAACCTGACGTTGCAAACATTTCCAAGCTAACTCGACGTTTTCTTCCTCTTCTGCCTTGTTCCCTTTAGAAAAGAAATGGTTTACAGATGAACCGGAAAATGCCTACCCAAGGAACATTCAGATCAAGCCCATGAGCACTCACATGGCCAACCAAGTCAACCAATACAAATCCACCAGTAGCCTGATTCCACCAATCAGAGAAGTTGAAGATGAATGCTGAACAGGGGCATGAGTGTTTCTTTGCTTACTCGCCAGACATCTGTGCGCTCTGTCTGAAGAGACGAACCGAGATCACCAGAGGAGATGTGACGATAATACCGACGGGGGTATTGAAGACTGACAACACATTTTTCTTCACTCTTTCTTCCAGTCAAGGGTTGGACAGAAACACGGACAAGAGGGGACCTCCCGTGTGTGTATACCCTAAATGTTAATTCCATACTTTGGACTCCGTTTAATTTACAAATGTATCCATAAAGATGTACATAATGACAATCAAATAAGGACTGTACAGTCCCTTCCCTCTAGCACTTTTTTTGAAATTATTTTAAGAATTGACAAGAGAAAACAAAAAAGTACTTCCTGTTATTCTTTGCAATAGTTCACTTCTTCACAAGACCATGGATTAAGGCGGTGGTGAGTTATTGGAGAATGAGGATTTCAAGCGATAAACTGACAATATCATCTCCCAAAGATCCAACCCAGATGCGTCGCGTAAAAAAACAGCTGGGTTCATCGTCATCATATCTTCTGTCTGCTTCTGTTTTCTATTTGCACTAAAACTAGAAAAAAGGCTTCTTTTGACAGAACAACTGGAAGCATCACTCCCCCCACCGCCCCCCAGCAGTAAATTGTCTCGGAGGAGATTTGCATATGGATGGAATGAAGGAGGAGGAAAAGAAAGGGAAGGGGTGCTGGGCTTTGGATGCATACTAATCTTGTTCTTCGGTTGTTATCCATCATGTTGTTACTTATGGTTTGCAGATTTATCTTGAATCATCACTTTGAGCAAGAGCATTCCAGCCCTGCAGAACATAATCACCTTGCAAAGCAGAAATCTATTAACTCGGAGAATGCTGCAATGAAGGTTCATGCTTCCTTGAAAGACAACTCTGTACCCATGTGTTTTCTGCAGATATGTCAAATACCGAGGCTGAGATTCACATTCAACCTCACATGTGTGCCTAATCCCAGTTTATAGCACACAGTGGCGGTCCCTATACAAATGGTACCCTAGGCAAGCCCCTTCGTCTGGATCCTCGGAGGAACAGAAGGAAAATGGAACAGAATATTTCAGGAGTATTCAGTGAATTTCTGTCCAGTGTAGACATTTACTGTTCAGCAAATTCAGCCTAGGAATTTTGGATTTTCAACAAATCCAGTCGAGATCAAACAAAAATGTTTAATCTAACATAATCAGACATTTATAAAGTGTGTTTTAACTCTGTTTACGCTGCGGAAAAAAACTTGGTGGCATTCTCCTGCCCTGCGCAGTGGGCCGTTGTCCACTTCAAAAACCGCCACCGATAACACAAACACTATAGTGTTTGCACTATCCATCATCCATTAAGTTTAGTGTGTAAAAGTGTGCATCTCAGCCACTTGCTTCTCCTGTGTCAGTGTAAAGCATCAGCCCTCACTGGATTGTATGCATTGGTGCAGCCTGGAGGGAACTGCATGTATGATCTTAGTACTAAAGTAAAGCTACTAACAATGATAAAAACTAGAGGATTTGGATCTACAACTAGTCAAGTTGCATTAAAGTTAAAATGAAAGATCCCCAACTATGGTTGGTCTAGCAATGAACAGCAGCTGATTGGCGTTCCTAAACATATCGCCGTAGCATCTGCGGCAGACAAGGGATCAAAAAGAACAGTGCTGCATTTTTCTGAATGTTTTTTTTTTCCTTGTTTCACCCTAAAGTTGGTCTCTGTAGCAGGAAATGCCACATAGCGCATAATAGTGGGCATCAATAGGCCCTTCTTTGATCTGAGCCACTGCCTGGCACAGGGTTGGCACAGAGGCAGTTGAGAGCTTGGATGTTCTCTGCAGCCAATCCAGATGTCACATCCCTCAAAAGTTTCAGGAGTAGACCAGTTGCGCTCTGTCCTGTAAGACTCGACCATAGTTGGCGGAAATGCAACAAGTCCACAGACAGCAGTGAAGGACACCGGAGACGTGCTTGTGTCCTTAATGCCGGCCTGCTTACGCCTGTAGATCCAAATCCAGCTGTTATGGACCTTCTAGAAATGTGGTGGTGGATTTCTATATTTAAACTTTATTTTATACCATAAACATAACTGATTTCTATTTATTTTTCTAACAAATAATCTAGAAGGAATTGCTTTGGAAGATGAATATTCAAAATCTTCAACATATCAATTGAGTTTAAAAAAAATAAAAAGCGCTATTTATTTTCACAGTCTATTTAATTCTGTCGCCCGCTGCACTCTCTAACTAACAGACTGCATCGCTCCGGAGCAGACAAAACTCACAGCTCGGCTCCACTGAGTGCATGCAAAAATGAACTTGAGCTCACCTTACGCATAGCTCAGGTGCTTTGTGTCTATGAAATCATGTGTAAGGGTAGGTGGAGGTGAACTATGTTTTGGAGGGGAAGGAAATTCAGCAACTGGAGTGAAGAGTCAAAGAAGATGAAGTTGCTCCCACTGTGTCCAGGCCAGAACTAACTGACCTTCAAGAGACATGTTTGACCTAAATTAGGTCTCTAGTGTGGGGAAAGAAGATGCGGAAATTACAGCACAGTGTGCTAGTGTTTTCATGAGAAAATAATTTAATAAAATAAATAAATATGATTGGGAGATGCTGTTTGTTTACTGCAGTGATTCTCTTCCCTATAGACTGTAAAGGAAAAGTAACTCCAAACATAGGAGACCCTTTTGGAATATGGAAAAAAATAATAAATATATATATATTGTGCTAAATATGTTTGTGTAAACTCAACCCATGATATAGAGCACACGTCTTTCTCAAACAAAATGATCCGAGCTTAAGTGTTTGTCTATTGGGTGTAACTATAATGGCGCTTCATACACATTGTCCTAAAGTGAACTTTTGGAACTGTGATTACATCATTGTCACACATTGTAGCAAATAGATTTCTTTAAAAAAAAAAAAATGCGAGTAAAATATTTGTAGAATTGGGATGTTTATAGCAGATTTGCTAGCCTGATCGCTAAGAAATTATTAATGTGACAATGACTCAAACTGAATTGACAAATTTAAGAATTAAAAGAATAAAATAAAATCTTGGGTTTTATTTAAGAATGCAGAGACTATTTAAGGAAAAGTAAGATGTGGTTAAACATCCGAGATAGAAGGTAGCACCAATTCAGCAAAGGTTATCAAACGAGAGAACATTGTTAGCTGTCCTGGGTTTTACTTTGTTATAATCCGAGATTTACATTCCATTTTGTCAGCTTGTCATTATCTGTCACAAACTGTCACAACTGCTTCTGATTTGTTTACACGGTACCTTTAAGGCATTTAATGCTTCAAACTGACAACACATGAATTTATTTTCCATATACTTAATGACTGTGCTTTTTTCTACCTGAGCCCCCATCATGCAACTCATTCAAACCAGCGTTATGAACAACACTGGATTAAGATGTGTCTTCTTCCTACACTGTTAGCAATGTATTTGTATTGTATACCTCTAAACCTTTTTTTTTTTTTTTTTTTTTTAAGTGCCATGAATCTTTTGTTTGAGCGAGCATCCTTCAGTCATCCAGTCAAGTCCAAGTGCTGTGAGAAACAGTCTTGTACTGACATGGAGAACATCCAAGCCACTAATGCCTCCATGCCAATACAGTGCCAGGCAGTGCAGTAGGTCAGAAGAAGGGCCTAAGAATTAAGTCCCACTAAAGCGAAAAGTGGCATTCAGGAGGTTGGAGCAGAGAGTAGAAGGAGTCAGGACCCCCAGAGGTCAAATCATGCATATCATCTCTGCTGCAGGTCTCGTCACAGTGTGCAGTGAGATGTGGATGACTGAAGGATTTGCACACAAGTCCGTAGATGTTACTTCACACATGGTTTTCAGCTTCTTCAGACTGAGATCAAAGAATATGTTAATGTGGCAGTATGTTGCATTAGTTTTATTTTCAGTATTATTGTTTTGATTTTTTTTTTTAGCCGTAAAAGATGGGTATAATTTATTTGCAGGAGATTGTACTAGATATGATATATAAGATGGGGAACGGAGGTAGGTCTCAAGTCTTAATAACACATTAAAGTTGCGTTCAGCACTTTTGTCCAAATAAATGTTGCTTTTTATCATTTCAGGAAGATTTCAGAATATTACTGTTGATTATCCCAGGTAGGAGTTGTTGACATATTGTCATTGCAGCATACAGGAGTCTGACATAGCATTCTAATTAGTTTGGATATGTTTTAGATATGAAGGATAAACAGATTATTTGATGGTGCTGAGTTGATCTACCTGACTGTCAAATATAATCTGCTGATAAATATTCTGTCTTGTACAAAAAGTTTGTACATAGATTGTACATGGTTTCTTTTTGTATTTTCTCAAATTAAAATGGATGTATTTGTGTTCTAAGGTTTGCATTTCTGTCTTTTATTCTTACTCATGTATTTCAGTTTTTCTTACCATTTTATGCTACACAGAAGGGACCATAGTATAGTAATTTATTAACATTTGCAAATGAATAGAGGTATATTTGGTGCACAGAATACATATATTTTTATGGAAAAAGGGGTATGAATTCTTTTATTCAGTGTACGTAAACATCTTGTTCCAATCGCAAAATGAGACTGCTTTTTGCTGGCACCAGATTGAATTAGTTATTATAAGGGGCCTCCCCCTCCAGGGAACAGTTTAAAAATTGCTAGCTTGTTTTTATGTGCAGGACTTGCAAAAAAGTTCTATAGGTTCTATAGTTTTCCTGAACCTTTACATTAAGGTTCTTAGTAAAACAGATTCAGTCATCTGCTTGTCTCAAGTGTTGTGCTCTGCTGTGCAGTGCCCATCTGACTGAGACACTTAATACATTTTACATCTTTCAAAGCACAGTGGTCAGGAGAACAACCTTTTACATAAATTGTGTTCACTAAGGATTAACCGGAACCTTCACTGAAATATTTTGCAAGCCAAGTTATCTATGCGTCACACACATTGCTTCACATCAAACATGGTCAAAGCAGAACTTGAGTTTTTTTTTTTTTTTCAATAATACAGCTGTATGTGTATGTAATATTAATAAAATGTAATGTGTGTTTTAACTGGACTCTAAAGCTACCAAGATTTCACATAAGTACTTATTGTCAGAGTCTTTAATCCATACGGCAGATGATGACATACTCACCAGTTCAGGGTTCCTACACAGTCTGGGGGAATAAATATAGAGCAAATGTTAAAACGTTTGTATTTCTAGACTCCCTTTAATTTCCCACTATCCCCATTGATCCAACAGTAGACTGGAATTAAAACTATAGAGACAAGAGTCTGGAAAAGTGTAATGTTTTTACATGAACATTAATTCAGAGCCCTGTCAGTTGTACACAGTTCACAAAGCTATTGAAAGTATTGGTGTTGTTTGTGGCCCGCATTACCTTTTTGCAAAAAGAAAAACATTTGCAAGAAGTGTGCCCCAAATAAAAAAATCTTCTTAGAGCCTAGTGCAACCTTGGACTGGCTCTGCATGACATTGACATTACTGAAGTATTACATTAAGACTTGGTATTGGTACTATGCCTGTTTTTAAGTGGCTTGAATCAGAATTTCTGTAATAAGAGAAATAGTTCTTTCTACCTGTGTGTGTTTGCATGTCATATCAGGACATAGTGTGTGCTGCACAAACAGCACAAGAAGACATTTGGAGAAGGAGACCCTGACCTTGAGTATCAGATTCAGATTAATGCTCACTGTAGTTTATCAATCCTCCTCCTCCTCCCCCTGCCAAAAGTTGCTGACCCCACCATTCAGGTTGCACCACCAATCCGCTTTTTCATTGGCTCTGGCGTTATTCTTGATTTATATTTGCTGACATGCCATTAGCTGCTCCATCACGTTCACCTGTCAGGCTGTCAATCAGGTGGGCATGCACGGTGATGGGTGGGAGTAGTATTCTGTCTGCGCTGGCTCATACATCTGCACGGAGACAACAACCACAGATGAGCAAAGGACATTACCGGAGGTATCTCACCATCAGTTCTGTGAATGTGCATTACATCAGGATGCTTAGCTTCTTAATGTTGATTCTGCCTGCAGATACACTTATTCCAGAAGCAAATGATTCATTGAGGAAATAATCCTCTTTTCGCCACGCAAGAGCAATAACATGTCAAAGCAAAGCCTGCAGAGATGAGAGTATCATTAGATGGCGCTAAAGTTAAAGGACATTTAACGGTGGCAAGAGCAGATTTGCACCTCAACTGATCCGATTGTACTTTCAGTAACTCCCAGAAGTAAGTAAGTAAGTAGCCTTTACTTATTTCTGTTAAAAATGTAATTTATTGTGATGTAAAGAACTGAGACTGTGATCATTTCTTCATTTCAAAAGGTTTCACATATTTAAAGCATTCATAATATGAAAACATGTGATATATCATTAAGATTAAAAAAATGCTAAAAAATCCACTGCCCTGCATTAAACTAAGTCTTTGTTTAAGCACTTTGTTTCAATTTCTGCATTAATTTTTCTTAGGTAGGAGTTTGTCAGCCATATTTTGACTTGGTGCCATTTAAAATTTTTTGGCTACTCTACCCACATCTGGGAAAAAGAAACATCTTGCCATGCCCCAAAAGTTTTAGTAGAAATTTCTGCAGCATTTTAAGTGTTATTATCCTTCTGTCCTGTTTTCTCAACTCATCAATGACTGACTTCAGAGCTTTGCATATGAAATAGTACAGTTCACCTGACTGATCCATTTAAGATAATGTCTATTCTTTAACCCTAACCCTATGGGATACAAATGAGGAAAATTCTACTATGACAGGTGAACTTTACTTCTGGATAATCAAATTCACTATAATTGAAGGTATAATTGCGTCCAACAATTATACCTTGTTTTAGCTCAATTTTCTTGAGCTGAAATTGGCTCAAAAAGTTTTGCAACAAAGTGATACCTTTAGCGTGTTGCATTTAATCATCCAGGTTATTCTCAAACCTGATTTGTTTTGCAGTTTGAACACATGCTACATTGCAGGTAAAGTTTTGACATGATTGATCATGGTTCCCTTTCTTTACACCATATAAACAGAGGTGTGCACACTTTTGAAAAGCTAGTCTACAATGTCCAAACCTGCCATATCTCATTAGGAATCCTTTAAACATGCTGAAATGACCTGACTGCTAGAAAAATAATAAAATGAAAAAAAAAAAAAAAAAAAATCAGAGGACATCTCTTACGTCTCTGAACCCTGGTCTCCTCCTCCTCCTTTATACTCCTGAGCTGAAGTGTGCGATTTCACACTCCAACGTCAAACAGCTGCTCAAGAGGAGAACGTATGACCCACCCTGGCATTTGTCCTCATTTCTCTCTCAAATGTGCAAACACTATTACCCTTGGGTTATCTTAAGTGGTGTGGTGAAGATTTTCAGCCTCTTCTGTCCGCTTCTTGCCAGACAACACCATCAAAATCCGGCAAGCGGAGAGGACAGAACAAGTCTGAAAGACAGAGTGAGGTGGGGTGAGCGTGCGATGAAAATGGAGCAGATGTTAGTGTGGCGGTTGATTTGTGGGCCTGATAAGGGGGTGCTACACGAGGCAGCTGGAATTGATGGCTTGTTAGTGAGGACAGGCCCCCTCTGTGAGATGTTTTCAAAATGATTGATTTACAATAAAGTGGCTCCGAGTGTGCGCGTGCAAGCAGAACTGATGCAGATCGATCCCGCTGAAATTGATTGATCAGCCATTTAGCTTGGCAGTGTGTTTACCGAACGAGGCCGAGCAGGACCCTCCTCGAGGCATCCTCCCTCGCCATAAAGCAGAGGAGAAATGCCGCGTCGAGGGGCCCGGGTCTCATTTCTCTGCCGGTGGCAGGGAAAACAAGCCCTATCAGAGCACGGCCCATAAAAATGTAATCATACAGTGAAAAATACCAGCATAAACATTTACGATTATGTACTTTATTCTGCCATCAAAGCGTCCTGCTGCAACTTGGAGATAGTATGCCTTCAGAAATAATGACCAACCTGCTCTATGCAGAGAGCAGAGCAGCGGCTGCCTTATCACAGTGTCACATTGAGACTTTCAGAAGGAGGCATTGAAATAACTTCTCACAGCGAATTTCAGTAAACAAGCAACCGCCCTTAAAGCTGACACCTCCAACAACCTTTAGCCTTGCTTTTTTATTATCTTGGAGATTACTACTATGTGTAACGCTGAATAGCCCTCAAGCATTAAAGTACCTTGGTACTGTACATAAATTGTATCTTCGGTAATTTTAACAAACAGTGCCTAGAAGGATCTCTGCGTGTTTTACAAGAAGTTTTACAGATGAATAAAGCACAAGGACGGCATTTACCATGCGACCCCGCTGACCTTCCTTCACTTCCTTCCTGCCAAAACAAAGCTCTCCACCACTCAGCTGAGGATTTAAATCACCTGTGCTCACTCGCCTCATCCTGTTATTTAGATAATTGCCAACAAGAGTGAGCTTTTTCCATTCTCAGGACGGCACGCAGCGGGCCCATCATGTCCCTTATTAACAATTTTACACACTTCGCTGCGGCGAGAGGGTGTCAGGATGCCAATAATATTTACCGTCTGCTGCGGGGCCATTCAAGGGAGGCTGATAGTTGCTGATTGCCCTGACAGAAGCTGACAGCATTCGAAACCTGAGATCCCTACAAATCAGCTCGTCTTTTCTTCTTTAAGGAAAGGAACGAGAGTTTGTGGTTGTGAGCCATGTGGTGCGGCTAAACACGGAAAGGATTGTCTCTCTCTTCGCCTTCAACATTGGAGACTTAAACCAATCAGGGGTCACTCAATAAACTTATGGCTTAAAATATTTCTGCTTACAGTGTAATGTAATTTTATAATTTTATTACATCACTACCACAAGGTAGCAATTATAAAGTAGATGAAGAGAATGTGGTCAACTTTTTTTTTTTTTTTTTGTGCAAATAAATGCTATAAAGGGTTTTTACTTTGTTACCCCTAAACAAAATCTACTATTCAAATGCCCCGAGACGTCAACTAAATGGTAATTTTACTATCTGCAAAGACTTGGCCATCATTTGCGTAACTCTGAGTGGGCTTCAGGGATCTGCAACTCAGATTAAAGAAACATGTTGTAGGTGAGCACTTCACAAAACACAAACATTTCAAAAGCCTTTATGGAGGAGTTGCAAGATTGTTAAAAGAAAGTAATAGAAAGCCTCTGTGCATTTTCACACAAAACACGTACGGGACACGGCATACATTTAGGAAAAAAAAAAAATCTGGTCAGATGAGATCAAAAATAAACTGCTTGGAATGCCTCCAAACAATTTGACACATAATCCTGAACTCACTACTGATATTGTGATGCATGGTAGTGGAAGCATCAGGCTGTGGAGGTGATTTTGTTCAAGAAGACATGGCACAATGGATGGATTTAAATACAGAGAATCCTGTGAGAAACAGACTTGTTGTAGTTGGTCTTTCAGCAGGATAAAGACCATAAACATACAACCAGAGCAACAATGGAATGGTCTAGAATAAAGAATATCCGTGTGTTAAAATTGACGCACGTGAATGCATTTGAAAAGGTGCAATAAAAGGTTTTCAGAAAAGCATCGGCTCAGAGAGGTGACCACAATGCATGCAGCAATTTTTTTTTTATTTTTTTTTTTAGATATTTAAATGTAAAACAGTTTTGAAAATGATTGATTACTTTCATTACCCTTCAAAAGTATGTTCTGCATATTTCGGTGTAACTTATTATCTTAGTAAAAGACATTTAAGTTTGCGGTTGCAATTCTAGCAAAATATGAAGATGTTTTAATGGCTTTGATTTCTTTCGCACAGGGCCATGTTTGTTTAAAAATTCAATTTTTGACTCATGCCGAAAGTTTCAGATGTACTCAAGGGTCATTTAGTAAATCAATGAGCTATGATGTTTAATAGCATTTGCCAAAAGAGCTCGGAGGCAAGTGAATGTAACGTCCGTCAAGGGAGTATTGAGCCTGCTCAGCCAATCCATTCAGTCTGTAATGATTTCCATAACATTGACATGAAAGATGTTGACACCAATTACACCATCTCCCTTTTGACCCCTGACAATTTGTGTCTCGAAGCGTTAAACATCTCAATCACGAACAAACACTCACGCAGGCCACCTTGAACTGTATCAACATCTGCAGCACAGTGTGAAAGTTACAATTTGTTTTCTTTATGTGACAGAGAAGTAGAGGGGAGAGATCTGAAGACGGAGCATCGTTCCGAATCCATGATAATAGTTTCCATGACAATGAGGCATGCTCCGTGCATCGGCTGCGGCCCAGATAAACAGTGATCCTTTACGAAAACAAGAAGGTCATTACAGCAGCTTGTCAAATCAATGCCCAGTGTGTCCAAGTTGATTAAGACATCTCTCCTCAGCTCTGACACACCGTCAATAGAACAGGCACACGTTGCGGGACAAAATGCTGGTGGGCTGGGGTGTCCGTGGCAGAAAATGTGCGTGTGTGTGTGTGTGTGTGCTGGAGGGGGAGGCCAGACACTCCCCTCTCTCTCCATCCACACACACCTACACAAACACACGCACAGTACTCAGATGATTGGAGTGAAATACCCATCAGTCAGGGAGCTGGGGTGGACTAATGATTCCCCGTGCTGCCTATTAGAACTACATGACAACTCAATCCTGCTCGCCAAGAAAGAGAAATGGGGGAGAGTGCTAGGTGGGGTGGAGGAAAGAGGGAGGAGGAAGGAAGGGGAAGAGCAAAAAGAAAGAAAAAGAGATGAAGAAAAGAAGTAGTGACCTTGTAGCAACATCATTTGAGGCTGAATTAAATTGGCAAGAGCAGCTAATCTTTACCTTGGGGCGATTAACAGAATTAAAGCAGAACAACAAAGGCACAAGGGTTGGCTTTTCCCTTTTTTCTGCCTGACGCTGCCATTTGTAATTTGAGTCGAATGTCTTCTTCTGGTGAAGTTCTTTGTGTCTAATCCTATCGCTGATGGGAGGATTTTTTATTTATTTATTTATTTTTTTATCCAAAAGACAGATATTAACACACTCAAAAACAGTGAGTGTGTTAATATCTGTGTACACAGCTTGAACTTTTTTTTTTTTCCTCCACATTTGCCTCATTTGTCACATAGCAACCAGACACTTTAGTGTTGATCTCCAGAGGAGTTAGATTTGGGCTTTGATTAGATTAGTCTAATACACAAATAAGCTTTGATCTACACTACTCTATTGATGCTCTGGTTGTGATTACAGTTGTTCTCCTGCTGGAAGCTGAATCTTCACCTCAGTCTCGGGTTTTAGCTGTCTCTTACAAAACAGAACCTGGCAGACACGTAACTCGGCCTCCGACAGATTTTCTTTAGTTCTGTGGATTTTTCGCCACACATTGTGCTTTGCATTTAGGCCAAAAGGTTCAGTCTTGACCAGAAAGCCTCTTCCACATAATACATTATAGCTTGTGGTTGCAACACGGTAGAATGTGACAAAGGTCAAAGGTCGCTAGACTTGCATGTCTAGACTTACATGTGGCAGATCCTCATTTTAATAAAGCATACTAAGTTATTAAATAAGCTGACACAAACACGATAGTTATTTTTTAATTTTTTTATTACCCATCAGTAACTGTCAGTCATGAAGTAAAGATACAGTCTGAAACTTCTCCTATTTTGGAATATTTGTATATTATTAGAGCAAAGACAGTTAATTGTAGCTTAGCTTTTGCACTTGGTCTCATAACCTGTCTCTTCTCACAAGCTGATCAATATGTTTAGAAAGACAGACAAGGTTAGGCCTCTCAGCCCGTCGAACAGAAAAAAAAGAACATAAATTATTTCAGAACTGTGAAGGATAACAACTGAACTGTACGCATGCTTAGATGAGAAGCATAAAAACCAATAAAGCTTTAGCTCAGGGACGTTCCAACTAGCTCTTGTGAGGAGATCAATGTTCTCTGTTACTTCATTACATTTCCACAAGCATATTTGGAATGGTAAATGATTTGAAGTGTTTGTAGCATATACGATTTGACTGAAATTATCCTCAACTTCCTTTGGTTATTGCTCTTTGTCTGTCATAGTGACCTCACAGCTGAAACTTGTCCAAAACAACAGGACAATAAGCGCAACGTAAGCAGCTTGAATCGCCAGCTGAATCCACAATAAGGTTTTCTAATTCAGTACTAATTAATCTTTGAATCATCCAGTCTTTTTTTAAGTTAAGGTGCAGAGAAGTGTCTGATATGTGATTGAGAACTTTGCAAACACACTGGGAAGATGCCTTAGGTTGGAGATGAAAGTGCTCAACAATCAAACTTTATATGTCCTCAGTAACCATTTATTGACAGACCTGCATTTAATGAAGCTCAATGAGAAACACAGGCAAATTCAAAAACATACAGTTGTTTCTCGAGTAACAGCAGTCCAGCATCACTTACAATCAGTTAGCATTTTTAATAGTAATTACGTCTACATGTGGGAAATA